GGTAGACACTTAAGTAGGGGAATACTCAAATTTTTAGCCCTGCCCAGCTGTATGAAACTGTGGCTCGCGCCTCCATCCACGAATATTTTCAGCAACACCCCGTTGACTTTACCCTCCACCAATACAGGGTGATCAGCATTTTCGTCCCCCTTATTCGTCCGGGTCCGGTCGATTGCAGCAATCGGGATCACGACCGAGTGGGGACTGTGTGGCTCGGGCGAAGAAGCCTGCCCATCAGTAAGGGGCCCGGTACTTACTAACGCGAGCCATTCCTTGGTCGCTCCTCCGGCTTCTTCCCCATAGAATTCTGAGTGGCTACGATTTCTAGGCAGTTGCGTCGGATGTGACCCGGTCGGCCACAGTGGTAGCATAGCCCCGTATTTCGCGGAGCAAGTGCGTAGATATCCACTGCGTCCATCCCTTTTATCGTGGCACGCTGGTACTGTTCTCGAGGGCGACCTCCATCGTAGACGTTCGTCCTCGGCTTAGTGAGCAAATCAGCGGCTTCGGCGAGCTGGATAAAGTCTTGTAACCGCTTCGCAGGGCGTTGCAATTTTATCTGGTACTGTATTTCAGGCTTCAGCCCGCCCATGTACCTGTCGACCTTTTCCAACTCGTGCATGTAGCCACATCGATCCACCAACATCAAGAATGACGCGGTGTATTCGGACACAGATCCCAGCTGCTTCCACATGCGTAGAGTCTCGCGCGCTTTGTCTAAGTTAGGAGCGTGCTCAGACCGCTTGCGAAGTTCTGCGCACCAGGTTGCCCACGTGCGAATGTGGGTTGCACCAAACAGCAAATCTGTCTCGTCTTCGTCGCCGAATTCTTCGGACCACTCATGCTGTCCTTCTGTACGAGTTGCCGCTGAGTCGACGATGACCTTCCACCACTGTAGGGCGGCCCCTTGCAACAGTGTCAATGCATGGCTGATCCGCTTCTGATTGTCTCGGATGCCCGCCGCGTTGAAATAGATATTCATGGCGAATATCCACTGCCGCACAGTCACGCCTTTATTAGCTGGGTCGAAAGGAGCGGGTTGCTGATATCTCATGCCGCCACTTGTCGAGCGCGGGGCGGTTGCCCCTAGTAATGCCATCTCCACTGGCGATGGTTGCTGCTCATCCGCCTCGCTTCGTGCATCGTCGCCCGGCTCCTCTGAACGCCTTTCCAGCGCCTAGCGAAGTCGTTGGTTTTCGTCGCAGAGGTTATTGACGACGCTTTTCAAATTCTTTAACTGCTCCATTAATGCTTTTAGGTCCACTGTTTCCTGGGCAGGGTTCGCAGCAGCCGAGGTCGTCTGTTCTTCAACCGTCGAGTCTACCTGGGCCATGGCGGTCAGGACGAGGTAGAAACTAGCGCACACGGTGTAGTTGTTGACGTAAAAATATTTACGATCGAAGACAACTGCTGTGCAGCCGTGTTAATCCCCTCTGACCACCCTTAACTAAATTAACGGGGAAACAAAAAGCCCCTGGAAAGTTCAGGCTCTAATACCAGCTGTTATGAAATAGGACGTGTCAATGTACTATAATGTGAGAATCCAAAGTCGCTATTGTAATGAGGGCACGAGGTTATATAGGAGTTGGCGTACTAGGGCGATAACCTCGGAACGTGGGTAGGTTCGGCAATATGACGACAGTGCCAGACGCGACTCGGGAAGGCTTGGGCTGATAATTGAGGCCGAGCGTGACGAATCGAGGAAGTCGAGTGTACGCGCTAGCGTATGAATGGAAATTCCTTACTAATGGCATCCATGTTCGAAGGGTCCTGCCAAACGGGTAAACGTGGTCCTACCTTCAGGCCCAATTTGCCAGGGATTTGAAGGTGTCCGTTACTGGAGTAACCGGCCGAAAAAAACTTAGGCCTCTTTCAGAACTCTAGTGTAGCCTGTATGTTGGCGCCCTGGTTGTCAACTGGTACGTCGCATCCGATCGTCTAGACAGTTGCGACAGCTCGTCCGCCCCAACGACTCCCCCCTGCTTATGCTGGCTCGCGACGCCATCCTGTACGTTGCCTTGCTGTGTGGCTGAGTTTGTGTCGCACGCACTGCGACGGTGGTTGCTGTGTGTCGCACATTCCGTTGGTCGTGCGGCTCGCAAGCCCGAATCGCTATATCTGGGTGGATGGGTTTTGTTTGGGTTAGGTTGGGTTCCTTCCTCCCACCCAACCAAAATCATCACTGGGCTTGCTCGCTGCTGCTCGTGAAACAAACACGTGTCGCCACCAGGGCTTATGTTAGGTTTTTTAACAGCTCTGACGCTCAGAGCTCCCTTCAAATTTCACCCTGAAAACCCAGGGTCCAAAGCTATACTGCTCTGTTTTTTCAGGGCCAGCCGGAAAAATGCTCGGCGAGCGCACATTTCCACGGATTTTACTTGAGGTTGTTCCAAGCTCTGCGTCACATTGGATTCGCGTTATTTCTAGGGGTATGAGGGGAGTACTCCTTCCCAACAAGTTTCCTGGTAGGCAAGTCATAGAAGAGTGACGGGTGTTAGGAGTGTGCGAGATAAGGGGTGAGGGGAGTGAGGGGCGCCGGGGGAGGGACGGTGCAAGTATTGGAAAAATCAGGGGTGCCTGAAAATTTTCTTGGAGTTTCCAGGGTCGCCTGACGATCTTCCCGGATTTTGTCTGGTCTGGGTAAAAACAATCCGGAGAAAATCAGGGCTGGTCTAAAAACTGCCTTATAATTTCAGTCAAGTCAGGGCAAATGCTCTGATAACATAAGCCCTGGTCGCCACCCTGAAGTTCCAAGTTATTAGCACCTGATAAGCAATTCCGCGTCTCATTCCCATTCGGTCCGTTCCGTACTCCGCACACTCTCCTAGTTCACACCTACGGTCTGTGCTGCATGCGCTATCGAAATTTCTTGCCACTTTTTCCCATTCGGTCACGATGACGACTCAACGCGGCTCACGCGCGGCCCTCCGGACTCAGCGAGCCGCTCCTATCATGATTGTACGCGCAGGCCTCGCCTGTGGGCTCTTTCTTGCGTTCGCACAGATCGCGAACGCGTCGCAAATACTGACTCGTAACAGCACGCTTTCTACCGTCGGGGGACGGCGGCGCAGTTTGTTTTTTCTGCCGTTCGGCCGCTTCATGTGCGCCAAGTCCGGAATGAAGGGTTACTCTTCCAAGATGTCGCTCCAGTTCGGGTGAGCTATAATGCAGGCCTCGGATATAGACAAAATGTGCAATAACTTCATTCCAGGACGCAAAAAAAATGGTGCATGATCTTTGTTCCGCACGAGTTTCTCCTTTCCTTTCTCCTTGTCGCTCGACCTTCCCCTTCTCCCCGCGCCATTTGTCCCCCTCCCTTATCCCCGTTACAGGCTCGTGCTCCACTGGAAGGCCACCAAGTCGAAAACGATAATGTTCGCGATTCAAGCGCGCAAGGGCTCCGCGGCCTACAAGGCCGGCTGGTTCGCCGCGGGGTGGTCCCCCGACGGGGGCATGGGCGGAAGCAACGTGATCGCGTACGAGAGCGGAACGGGCGCCGCTGCGCCGTACGATTGCATCCAGCAATCCGCCGCCGTCCCTGCCACGTCCTGGGCTCCTCCGACGTCCGTTTCCACCGGGAAGCACGGGATCATCGTGAAGTGAGAGCTCCGTTCGCCGAGTTTCTCACTCCCCTCTGACTCGAGCTTCTAAATCTCCCCTGAATCAAGCTTCTAACTCCCCCCTGACTCGAGCTTCTAACTCCCCCCTGACTCGAGTTTCTAACGAGCGGTCTTGAATGCTCCGACATTCGCCTTTCCCGTTCCGCGTCCGCATTTCCCTTTTCGCCGTTCCCCATTTTCCCATCCTCCCACATTCGCCTTTGCAACGCCCCCCGGGCCGCCCGCATTTCGCCTCACGCTTCCTCCTCGCTATGCGCTCCTCACCTCTTTCCTCCCCTCTGCCTCTCGCCCTCCTTGGGTTGGGACCCATCGGGTTGAAGCGCTCTCGAAGCGACGGCTCCTCACTGAACGTGCACAACAGCAGGAGATACAGACTCTCCGCTGATTCTCCTCACACCTTTTCCTCCTCCCAGACAGGGCACTTTTTTTGCCCTCTCGCAATTATTTGACCTTCCAGGTTTCACACTCCCTTTGACAGTCAGCTCGTCACTGGAGGCGCACAGCGGGGGGTGCACTGCGCCCACACCATGCCGTGACCCACTCTCCCTCCCCCATTCCCCATGTCCCCTCCTCGCTGTCCACCCACCCCTTCCTCTCTCCTCCCTCCACTCCCACTTGTTCTAACCTTGACCCATCAGGTTCACCCGCTCGTCCAGTGATGGCTCGTCAGTGAAGGTGTACAACAGTGGGGGCATGCACATTGTGTTTGCTTATGGCCCCGACTCGTCTGTCGCCTTGCATAGCGACGCGTACGTGCCTCGGAACCCCTCAGTGTCCTATCTGCGTGGCTTGCACTGCTTGAGTCAACTCTTTGACTCTTCAGTTGACTTGCATACCTATGCGTGTTTTACAGATGGCAGACTGGCCCCTCATTGGCAGGTTATTCTGGGTTATTTCCCGCTCATATCACACATGCATTGTGCTTGTTGATTTGCACCTTCTGGCCATTTTCTTCTGCTTCGCAGGGAGAATGCTGCGGTGGACTTCTCCTGTGGCTGTGGTCCTTTTAGGAGTTGGTGCTGAGATCCGGCCAGACACTTGTAGAAGTCATTGTTCAGGTAGTGCGGATTACACTATGAAGATTCTTGTATTTTGTTTGAACATTCTGGTATATATTGGTTCCTGGTCCTGTCCATGATATGCTAACGTACAATATGCCCCCCGGCATCATTCAAGATCGATCTTTGAGAAAAAACATATTTGCAATCGCCTTAAAGGACGTGGTACTACATTTGGGTAATCAACATCGATACATTGGATCTGAACTCAAAAACATTTGTTGTGGTCACATCGAAGCTGCTTATCTCGCGTCTGCATCCCTTCGCCTAGAAGAAAACTCCAGAGCTTCACAGATTTCTCATTTCTCTTTGGCCGAAACCCCAAGCCACCTTCTGTCCAGAAACTCGTTATCTCCGACTGGTTCAGCGCTCCTTATCTCCTGTGTTCAGCCACCTCCTTATCTCCGACTGGTTCAGCGCTCGTGTTTTCATGCAGAGTTAGACATTGCCTCGCATGTCATCCATCTCGAAACGTCTTGCCTGTCTTTGATGTCAGATCTCCACTTCCTTGGTCTCACGCGTGCGCGCTTTATGGATATTTTGTGCTCTATGCGTACGCACATGACGGTATGGTCCTTGCGATCATAACCCTTGGAAGCGCGTGACGAATTGTATCGGTCTCGTTCGTCGTAATGGCAGTGTCTCATTGCCTTGCCGACAACGATAATACATCACCACCCATAGCCTGATGCTTCCATCCCTTGAAACCCCTCGGATTTTCAAGGAGTCAACGTGTTGCTCCATTATGACCCCTGTTGACCTTTGGCTTTTGTTCGGATTTTGGTTGATTCTCATGGGTTTTATCTGAGGCCTCGACATCTGTTTTTTGACGTGGCATTGGAAGCGAATGATGAATTGTATTGGTCTCGTTCGGCGTAATGGCATTCATTGCCTTGCCGACAACCATACTACATCACCACCCATAGCCTGATGCTTCCATCCGTAAATACATTCGTGGTTAAGGGGACTAAGGTGTTGCTTTGTCGCGCACGTCTCATTTATGTTTGCCTGCTGCTCGATTCTTGCTGCTTTGGCAACCTGTGTTCTATGCTTGTTGGTCCAGCCATGTGGTCCAATATTTGGAAGCGAATGATGAATTGTATTGGTCTCGTTCGACGTAATGGCAGTGTCACTGCCTTGCCGACAACCATATTACATCACCACCCATAGCCTGACGCTTCAACCCTTTCAAAGCTCACATGATCGAAGGGGTTTTGCTCTGTTCCCCTCGCCTCAGGCATGCTTTTTTTTTTGCTCGGTTCAGTTTGATGGCACTTATCCATGGTAACAGGTCTGGCCTTCAGATCCATTGTGCTATGACTCTGAAAGCGCATGAAACAGTAATGACCTCGTCCGTCGTAATGGCAGTGTCTTCCACTGTCGTGCTGACAACCATATGGGCGTGTCCCCCAAACGTACATTTCCGCCCAACACCACATCCAACCGTGTTAGGCTACTCCATCCTTCTGACTCTCCTGACTTCACCCAACTGCTATCAGACGTACGCTTGGAGCACGCCCTTACGCGTCACCACCATTAAATCTGTTAGTCATTAAATTGAAATGCTATCTAGTTGTTTTTTTACTCAATGAAGTCATCCGTTGTAGTCTAGTCGGTTAGGATATTCGGCTCTCACCCGAAAGACCCGGGTTCAAGTCCCGGCAACGGAATTTTTCGACTATATTCTACTTCCCCAGTCTCTTCTCACTCACCACCTTTTGTTGTTGCCTCCTCGCACGGTCACCATACGATGCGGCGAGTTGGTGTGACGTGCTGGTGTCCGTCCCTTTTTCTCCTCCGTCAAGCTGCTTTTTCCTTCGTGTCTATCCTCTCCTCTACTCCTCGTCGGTTAGGACAGGCCTCGATGATCACGCCTTGAGCCTGCGACATTCTACCCTATCCTTGTGCTCGCGACTAGTTTAGGAACTTCTATGGCAGATCCTGCAATGGCTACGCAATCTCTTGCTCGTGTGCGTTTTTCGCGGGCGAATAGTGTGCGATATTTGAAAGCGAATCTTGCAGGCGGATTCCCTCAGTTGAGTCAGCCAGTTTGCCATTCAGCCAGTCACAATCAGCGGCCCCTCCCGCTCTCGCAGTAGGATGTGACAAGCAACTTCGTCGCATGTAGGCACTTAGTTGCTGCTGATCGGCAATGTAGCAGGAGCGGGCAGAGGAAGCACCTGGAACCAGCAGCACAGGGGATGGTGAGAGTTCTGAAGGTAGTCAGGGATGCTGCACAATGGTCATATCTTGCCACTGTTCTTGAAGTCGAAGGCGAAGGCGAAGTCGCATACACCTGGTGGTGGTTGCGTGGCAGCTGCCGAGGGCGAGCGTTCTGATATTTGGTCAGGGATATTGCACAATGGTCATGTCTTACTACGGTACTGATTCTTCAATCTCCTCCCTCGTCCACATCCCCCTACCCCCCCACATCTAACCCTCCCCTCCCTCCCTGTACTTTCCACTCTCCTACAATGCTTCTCCTTAGATGCATGATGTGGTGCGTTGGAGGGCCCGTCGGAGCCAGCTTGGGTGACACTTCGCTTCATGAGAGCTCGGCTGTCAGCCATTTCCTGGAGGCACCTTCCAGCCCTTTTCAGAGCTGGTTGTAAATGCCAATTCATACCAACTCTACCGTTGGCATCATGTCAAGAGAACAAGGCAAGTTTTTGTGAAGCGTCTACCTTGCCAAGGTTACAGATAGACATGACCTGCAAAGGTGAGCGTTTTTTTTTTTTTAAGGATATGTGAAGATTGTCCATTATGAAAATTTGTCGTTCCTCGATTTTCCATTTGCTTTTTTAGGCATGTCCAACCAAGAGGCGTATGACACAAACTGCACTTTCGTGAGTGTTCCGCCGTAACAGACTTCAGTCTGTTGCGATGTCGCCGTCGTTGGTTGGCCCGACGAAATCAGTTTTGACGTGACACATTTCGGGATTTCTCGCTAACTCCCCCCGCCTTTCCCCCACCACTCATTTTCAGCAAGCAGCACACCTTGCGAATGTTTCGATGGTGACCTCTGCTGTCGCACCTCGCCTACCGTCGCCGCTTCTCGAAATTCACAATCGCGAGTTTCGCCGCAGCGCCCTATTATCGGATCGCGCGCCATCCCAATGTGCATTGGAAATTGACCCCCGCTTCTTCCAACATTTTCGACAGCATCAGTCGCCGTCAGAAAATTTCGCCACCTTAGCGCTGCTGGTAAGGTAAGCCCTTCAGTCCCTTTCCAACATCTTCGGCAGCATCAGTCGTTTCCACGCTTCTTGCTCAATTCAACCACTGGACAGTAGTACTGGTGACTTGCATGACTACGAGCTCATAACTTGCACCTGATCCGTTGACCTATTCCTGACACAGATTTGCTGACAATCAATCTTTAGTTTTGGTGGTCCAAAGGACAGAGGGAAAGGCTATAGATAGGTTACTAAAAACTTAGCTTAGCATCAGCCCTGGCCCTGAGATCCCTCAGCTACGCAGGCGTACTTCCAAAATTTCTCAAATGTCTCCGAAATTTTCAATCCTTCCACCACATGTCACATGGCCCCCTCCCCTTCCTCGCATCAAGACGCGGTGCAAGGAAGCAGCAGACCTACAATTTTCAGATCTGCAAGCCGCAGCAGGATCGTCGCAACCAGGGCCAAAAGAGGGGCCACCGCCACCGGACTCGAAAGCACCAGCGAATTCCATTCAGAGGCGCGCTGGGGACTATTCTGGCAGTCTGTCATCTCTAGACGTGTCCGGCGGACGCTCCACTGGCAGTGGCGCTCGTCCAGAAACAGCAAACGATGATTTCCAGCCCGTGTCCCCTATAAGCCGCCTCTTCCTGGACCCCGCTCTGAGCACTGTCATCCTGATGGCCATGGAGTTTGAAGAGAGCGCCATGGGACTGAAGGAACTGAGGGAGTTGGTGCGCGCCCTGCTGTCCTCCCAGCCGCGCTTCACCAGCCGAATTGTGAGTCCCTCCGTGCTGTCTTGTTTTCTCATCTCGTTTCTTCGTGGATCTCTCTTCCCCGCTCCGAGCATTGACACTCTGATGGCCATGGCGTTCGAAGAGAGCACCATGGGACTGAAGCATATAGCAGCTTTCGTGCAGCGCCGGCTGTCCTTGTCCTCCCCGCCGCGCTTCACAGGCTTCCGTCTCCTTCTCTCGGTGTGACTTGCGCTCTTTCCCTTGTCTCCCTTGCCTCCCTTGTCTCTCTTTGCCCTCACCACCAGGAGCACCGTGGCTGGTGGCATGCGCCCACGTGGGTGCCTACCCACGTGGACTGGGCTGCTCACGTGGTGGAGGAACCTTCGCTCTGTGCCGCATGCAGCAGTGATGGGCCCATAAAGACTGAGAGCCACAAGGAACAATATCCTCGTTATAGTGTGCCCCGCTGCAGTGTAGAGAGCCACGTGGTTCGCCTGCAGACCCTCCCGCTCTTCGATTTCAGCCAGCCGTTGTGGCGGGTGCACCTGCTGCCCACCTGTGCGCACATCCCTCGCTCCACTGCTGTCTTCCGGTGAGTGCAAGAGCACCCTTGGTACAGCTTTCTAGTTTAGAAGCGCATGTGCTAGGTAGATGCACATGCGCACCTTGGTAACAGATAGATGCATCTGCTGCCCACCCTGCTCGCACATCCCTCGCTCCACTGCTGTCCGGTGAGTGCAAGAGCACCTTCACTATATTCACTTGTTCGGAAGCACATGTTGAAGCAGACGCGTGCACCTGCTGCCCGCCTGCTCGCACATCCCTCGCTCCACTGCTGTCTTCCGGTGAGTGCACCTTTCGTATTAGTCACCTTGTTCAGAAGCACACTGCGGTGGCAGATAGAAGCACCTTCTGCCCACCTGCACGCGCACATCCCTCGCTCCACCGCCGCTTTCCGGTGAGAGCATAATCACCCTTGGTAGGGCTATCTACTGCTGGGGCGCACTGCTCCGCTGGTAGGCGCACTGCTCCGCTAGTTCAGAAGCGCGCGTGATAGGTCAAAGATAGTTGCAGCTGCTGCGCACACATCCCTCTCTCGACTGCTGTCTTCTGGTGAATCCGCCTTCCCACTCCCTTTTCCATGCTTGCTCCTCCAGCATCCGCCACGTCATTGGCGATGGCACTTCCCTCGTGTCTCTGCTGTCTTTTTTTGAGGCGCCTCAAAAATCGATGGCACTTCCCTCGTGTCTCTGCTGTCCAACCTCTACATCGCCCTCTGTTTCCCCCCTCCCCTTCCCTCCCTTTCCCTCTGTTGCCCTTGGAGCATCCACCATGCGATAGGCGATGGCACCTCCCTCGTAGCCATGCTCTCTCACTCCTCTATTCCCCTCTGTTTCCCCCCTCCCCTGTCCGTTTCCCCCCTCCCCTGTCTGGTTCCCCCCTCCCTTGTCTGTTTCCCCCCTCCCCTGCCTGGTTCCCCCCTCCCCTGTCTGTTTCCCCCCTCCCCTGCCTGGTTCCCCCCTCCCCTATCTGTTTCCCCCCTCCCCTGTCTGTTTCCCCCTTCCCCTGTCTGTTTCCCCCCTCCCCTGTCTGTTTCCCCCTCCCCTGTCTGTTTCCCCTCCTGTCTGTTTCCCCCCTCCCCTGTCTGTTTCCCCCCTCCCCTGTCTGTTTCCCCCCTCCCTTGTCTGTTTCCCCCCTCCCTTGTCTGTTTCCCCCTCCCCTGTCTGTTTCCCCCTCCCTGTCTGTTTCCCCCCTCCCTTGTCTGTTTCCCCCCTCCCCTGTCTGTTTCCCCCCTCCCCTGTCTGTTTCCCCCCTCCCCTGTCTGTTTCCCCCCTCCCCTGTCTGTTTCCCCCCTCCCCTGTCTGTTTCCCCCCTCCCCTGTCCGTTTCCCCCCTCCCCTGTCTGGTTCCCCCTCCCCTGTCTGGTTCCCCCTCCCCTGTCTGTTTCCCCCTCCCCTGCCTGGTTCCCCCCTCCCCTGTCTGTTTCCCCCCTCCCCTGCCTGGTTCCCCCCTCCCCTGTCTGTTTCCCCCCTCCCCTGTCTGTTTCCCCCCTCCCCTGTCTGTTTCCCCCTCCCCTGTCCGTTTCCCCCTCCCCTATCTGGTTCCCCCCTCCCCTGTCTGTTTCCCCCCTCCCCTGTCTGTTTCCCCCCTCCCCTGTCTGTTTCCCCCCTCCCCTGTCTGTTTCCCCCCTCCCCTGTCCGTTTCCCCCCTCCCCTGTCTGGTTCCCCCCTCCCCTGTCTGTTTCCCCCCTCCCCTGTCTGTTTTCCCCCTCCCCTGTCTGTTTCCCCCCTCCCCTGTCTGTTTCCCCCCTCCCCTGTCTGTTTCCCCCCTCCCCTGTCTGTTTCCCCCTCCCCTGTCTGTTTCCCCCCTCCCCTGTCTGTTTCCCCCCTCCCCTGTCTGTTTCCCCCCTCCCCTGTCTGTTTCCCCCCTCCCCTGTCTGTTTCCCCCCTCCCCTGTCCGTTTCCCCCCTCCCCTGTCTGGTTCCCCCCTCCCCTGTCTGTTTCCCCCCTCCCCTGTCTGTTTCCCCTCTCCCCTGTCCGTTTCCTCCCTCCCCTGTCTTTTTCCCCCCTCCCCTGTCTGTTTCCCCCCTCCCCTGTCTTTTTCCCCCCTCCCCTGTCTGTTTCCCCTCTGGTCTCTCCCAGCATCCACCACGTCATTGGCGATGGCACGTGTTTATGTTTCTGCTTTACAGCTATCCACATACACCATCTGCGTTACACCATCTGCTTTACACCATCTGCTTTACACCATCTGCTTTACAGCTATCTGCTTTACAGCTTTACAGCTATCTGCTCTACATTGCTCTCTGTTCCCCCTCCCCTTTCCCTCCGCTGCTCCTCCAGCATCCACCACGTCATAGGCGATGGCACATCCCTCATGTCTCTGCTGTCCAGCTACTCCATGGCAACGAACCCATGCATACCCCAGCCCACCAACTTAAAGCCTCACTTCAAGCCCGCTGATGCTCCCTCGAATTCGGCCCAGTTGCCGCAACCCTCCAAGCCCAGCAGCAGGAGATGCAACGTTGAGGCGGCTCAGTGCTTCACGAGGCAAACACAGGGAGTCGACGCGGGGCAAGGCGCGCAGGAGTTGGTGGGAGGGATGGTGAGAAGCATGCGGAGCCAAGAGGGGGGTGCTCTCAGCGATGGTGATTGTGAGGCCTGCCATGCGCCAGTGGGTCCTGCAAGCATGGTGGGAAGCAGCCGAGAGCACGAGGGAGAGGGTGAGGAAGAGAGTGGGGGAGAGAGTGGGGGAGAGGATGATAGAGCGAGTGCGGGTGAGGGAGGGAGTAAGGGAGGGAGTGAGGTAGATATCGAAACAGAGAGTGTTGGCAGCGTTGTTGAGGGGAGTGAATGCAATGGGAGTGAGGGAAGCACGTGTGACGATAGTGGGAGTGAGAGCAAAGGCAATGAAACTGCTGTGGCGGGCAGCAGCACACCCACTATGGCCGGCATGGTTCGGAACGACACGGACAGCAGCGAGAGGAGCACAGGCAGCAGCACCAGTAACGCCAGCAGTGGCGGGTCCTCGGTGGGTGAACTGATCAGGGATGGGTCGGACTCTAGTACCAGCAGCAGCAGCAGCAGCAGCAGCAGCAGCAGCAGCAGCAGCAGCAGCAGCAGCAGCAGCAGCAGCAGCAGCAGCAGCAACACCAGCAGCAGCAGCCGCAGCAGCAGCAGCACCAGCAGCAGCACCAGCAGCAGCACCAGCAGCAGCACCAGCAGCAGCACCAGCAGCAGCACCAGCAGCAGCAGCAGCAGCAGCAGCACCAGCAGCAGCAGCAGCAGCAGCAGCAGCAGCAGCAGCAGCAGCAGCAGCAGCAGCAGCAGCAGCAGCAGCAGCAGCAACACCAGCAGCAGCAGCCGCAGCAGCAGCAGCAGCACCAGCAGCAGCACCAGCAGCAGCACCAGCAGCAGCACCAGCAGCAGCACCAGCAGCAGCACCAGCAGCACCAGCAGCACCAGCAGTAGCCATGGCAGAGACAGCAGTCCTGGAACCACAGAAGAAGCTTCAAAAGCGTCCAAGGGAATGGCAGCAGCAGCAGCAGCAGTGCCTGAGGCGGCAGCAGCAGCAGCAGCAGCAGCAGCAGCAGCAGTAGCAGTGTATGAGACGACCCAAGAATCAGCGGAAGAAGCGTTTGCCTTGAAAAGCAGCATGGAGTGTGCGGCAGAAGTAGCTGGATATGACTCAGAGCCAGCAGCACAATTTACCAGAGCAACAGCCCTGGTCTCGGCCACGCCAACAGCACCTGCAGTACCAGCAGCACCAACCGCACCAGCACTGCCTGGTTCCCAATGCTCTCCTGCCATGCCTGCTACAGGCTCTCACTCCCGTCCAAGCGGCTCCGGCCTTGCCCAGGGCTCACGGGCACTCTCTTGGCTGCACAGACGCGTGCAGCGGAAGAGGAGCAGCCTGAGCAGCGCATGGCCACGCATCACCACCATGGGGGCGCACATGCTCGAGTACTTAAATAGAGCATGGCGGTGCACTTTAGCTACTGTCGCCCATATGTTGGAGTTTCTCCTCACTATCCTCTTCCTCTCAGACCACCCCTGCACGCGCATCCGCTCGGCCATGCCCTTCTCGCGCCTGTGCCAGCAGGATCAGCGGCTGCTGGCAAGGAGCTTTGCAGTGACCGAGGGGATCCCCATGGAGAGGGTTACGAAAGTGCGCAAGGCACTGGGAGCGGTGAGTGTGCAAGGAAATGTGGGTGCGGGTGTGGGTGCGGGTGTGGGTGTGGGTGTGGATGTGGGTGGGGTTGTGTTGTGAGTCTGGGTGAGGGTGTGATCATGCCTGCACACGCATCCGCTCGGCCATGCCCTTCTTGTGCCTGCGCCAGCAGGACCAGCGGCTGCTGGCGAGGAGCTTTGCGGAAGCGGTGAGAGTGAGTGGAGCGGTGAGTGAGTGAGGAAGCGGTGAGTGTGAGTGAGGGAGCGGTGAGAGTGAGTGAGGGAGCGGGGAGTGAGTGAGGAAGCGGTGAGTGTGAGTGAGGAAGCGGGGAGTGTGAGTGAGGAAGCGGTGAGTGTGAGTGAGGAAGCGGTGAGTGAGTGTGTGATGGAACTGATAGAGATGTGCCACCTTGTTGCTTGTTAGTGACATGAGATCAAGTCTAAATGTTTTTGTTTTCTTTCTCCTCTTGGTGTTCTCTCTACTGTTTCTCTCACTGTTTTCCCTTCCTCCCCCTCCCCCTCCCTCCCACACCCGCCGCCCCCCAACGGACTGTGAACGACCTGGTGATGGCAGTCAGTGCTGCGGGCTTTGAGAGCTACGTGCAAGCCAAGAGCTATGGCATTGACGAGTCAACTTGACAACTTACTTGTCGCGCCCCCCATACCCTTGCCCCCACCCCCTTCTTTAGACTGTGAACGATCTCATGATGGCAGTCGTTGCTGCGGGCATTGAGAGCTACGTGCAAGCCAGGCGGGATGGCATTGATGAGTCAACTCAGCAACTCTCTGAGCTCTGTGGATGGGCCAGCAGGAGCGGTGCCATACGGTTCAGAGCGGTAACGATGGCTGATCTGAGAAGCAGATCCAGAAAGGGCCCACCTGAGGTAGGTGGTATCTGGGGTGAAGGGCGCGCATGGGGTGGGTGATACCCGGTGTGAAGGGCGCATATGGGGTAGGTGTTACCTGGTGTGAAGGGCGCATATGGGGTAGGTGGTACGTGGTGTGGAGTGCACATATACGGTGGATGGTAGCTGGTTTGAGCGCATATGAGTGTGCACGTTGGTCATAGCCTTGCTCTCTCCAACTTGCTCCTGTTGTAACCTTCGTGATTATTCCCCCCCCTCCCCCCCCGCCCTCCCCCTCTCTTTCCGCTCAACACCCGTTGTCTCTCAGTGGGGCAATAAGCTTGGAATCAACGTCATATCTCTCCCCATCTCGCTTCCTCCTTATCCTCCTCCTCCTCCACCTACCGTAACAACTCTAAAACTCACAAGCGCTGTATCAGCCCCACTGCCACGTGTCAGCACCTCCTACAACGCCACACTGCCACATAGGATGGATGGCCACGTTGTCATTGATCTCATGCCAGAAGTAACCGCACCTGATGCAGCAGTGGACAATGCTTTTGGAGGGAGGACAGTGGCGTGGAGGATAGAGGGGAGGAGAGAGGAGGGTAGAGGCGAGGAGGGGAAGGGGGAGGAGAGGAGGAGGGGGGAGGGAAGAGGGGAGGAGGTGAGGCGAGTGCAGCGGGTGAGGGCGGTGTGCGAGCAGAAGAAGGTCTCGTGGGAGGCTCGTCTCACCAACCTCTATGCACGCCTGGCCCTCGCCCTCCTGGGGCGCAAGCCCATGGCATGGCTGTTTGCGAGGGTGTCTCAGCAGACCTCGATTACAGTCTCCAACATCGCCGGGCCAAAGGAAAAGCTGTGTCTTTCAGGCCATGGTGTGTCATCACTTGTCATAACCACAGTGGGCCAACACCAGGTGTGTATATCAAATGTTTATTTGCGGTTTGCTTCTTGCAAGAAAATCTGACCTAACGCTGGCTCTCTTTTTTCCTTCCTGAAAAATTGCACCCCTTTCAGGCTATGACGTGCCATATTGAATCATATGCTGGATACTTGAATCTTGTTGTTAGTGCACTGGGTGACTACATCCCTGATGCCCCAAGCATGTGTTCCCATTTCATGGAGGCCTTCAAAAGATTGGAAATGGAGGTCATGTGCTACGAGAATTGGTAACGGTTTTATGTTCTTTGTATCTGGAAGCGAGGAGAGGCATTACCGAACCTTTCCACCATGGTGTTTTACTTTGTGTGGAAGCTACCATGGGTAAGATGTGGACCATATGAAAGCATAGCCTTTTAGTCAACGCAATACGACAAACACTAGTGAGCTGAGTGTGTACGGTCGCTTCTATAGCGGGTCTCTGCTGCAACACCAAGCATTTCGGAAAAGCGCTGAAGGCATGCCACGTGGCTGCCACTTTTCAGCCAGCCGCCAGCAATCAACCTCTCCTCCTGGCTGGCACAAGCCGAGCGGAGCCACTGCGTGTGGTGGGTGACAATCTCGGTGGAGCCTCGATGTTGGTTTTGGTGGTCATCAGTGGCATGATCAGGGCGTGGAACATAGTGTTCGAACAGCCTCTGTTCGCACTTTCACCACACAGTACCATGCGAATTCTTAACTGAAACACGCCAGAAACGCTAGTAAAATCTTTGTACCGTTCGGGCTGTTCGAACTATTAGGAGATCCGAACAAGGGGAATTCCCTCAGGAGCTTTTGTTCGTTATTATCACTTTCCGCCGAAAGATTTCCACCCAGCCTGGAAAGTGTCCCCTTCTTTACAACCTCGAATCTATCCCACGCTGACACATGCTAGCAGTTGTCAGAATAAAGCCGCCATTAGCGGTTTTGCCTCTCTTCCTCGCTTCCTTCCTGATCGACTCGACTTCTCTGCACGGTCGATGCGAGTGCGACTGCGTGGGGAAGAGCTAGCGCACGACTCGGTTTGTTTTCCTCTGATTGGTCAAATTAGAAGCAAGGCGTGGTTCTTGAACCCCTGGCTTTTTTACGAGAAGAAATCGCGTCGCCTCATTCATAGAGCCGAAATTCCCCTTGTTCTTTCCCTAAGGTTAGCAGTCGAACATTCTTCGCACGAAGAGCCGTAGAGAGAATGACGAAAATGGGCGAGTCTGGGTAATTCTGACAGCCACTCGGAGATCTTTTGCTTTGAAACAGCTACGCTCCTGGTTGACGGCCCATGGCGAGCTCCGTTCCGTGAAATCCGCTTCGTTCAGATACTCGTTATTTCCAGCACTGTCATAGCATCCAGCATCGCGGTAGCTCGTTCATCCCTTTGGGTCGTCACTTAGCTTCGGAAGTCCCAGCCCAGGTTCGGAAGTTGCGCAGAACCAACTTCAATTCAGGAGGTCGTCTAATCACCCAGTTCTGAAGAATCTTGAGAAACTTCCCTAAGGAGCGGAGAGGATCGTGACGCCATGCTAGGAAGTCTTTAATTACCCGGATCTGGAGGAGGTGGCGAATAAGGAGAGGGGGTCGCTGAATAAGCTCCTTTTGCGCGGTATTCGTCCGCGAAGTGCGGGGATCTTTCTTGATATTCCAACCAGGAGATACTTCACGCGAAGAATTTCAAGGTTCGTCTAAGGAAAGCTTATAAATCTCTTGTCTCCCCATCTGCCTTCCTCGTTGTTATCATACGACGTCTCCCGTCCTTCGCCATCACTGTTCGTTCTCGTCTCGTCTCCTACTACAGCCGCGTCCCTCCCTTCGCTATTGTCACACCCGTTACGCGAATCCCGCCATCAGATGGATTCCCTGAGGGCGGGAGCCCACGTGATGACGTCATCTCTTCTCTACACCATCTCGTCCGGTCCCTCTTTCTCGTCCGACTGTGAGTTGATTAGGCTGATCACATCGTAAGTTCCACATAGGCTAGATGACGTCATCGTTCCTCTACACCATCTCGTCCGGTCCAGCTCACTCTTCCAGCTGTGAGTCCCTTAGGCTGATCACATCGTAAGTTCCATGTAGGCTTGATGACGTCATCAGTCCAACTTTCTCTTCCAGCATGAGTCCATTAGATTGACAATTCTTTCTTTCTTTCCTTTTCCAGTTTTGTAATGCTCCTGTTTGGCCGTCATTCTGTGGCCACTCGACCCGTACGCCCAACAATCTGCAGCTCCACCTCTGCCCAATCCCCTGCTCACAATTTCTCTCTTTCTCTCCTCGCGCAGCTCCACCTCTGCCCAATCCCCTGCTCACAATTTCTTTCTTTCCTCACCTCCCTCTCTCCCTCCCGTACTGCCAGTTTGGCCTTCCTTCTGCGGACCACACGACCCCTACTCCCAACACTGCCTCACCGCCTCGCTCCTTTCCCCCCCCCCTCCTCCCCTCCTCTCTCCTCCACCTCACCCACCCACCTCCTCCTCCCCTCCCAGTACCCCCCTCTCCCCCACCCCTCCCCCTCTCCGCTCTCTAACATCACTCTTCCCACAGTCACATGGCCCCAGATAGAGCGCCTAGCAGCAGTGGAAACCAGCCCGGGGTTCCTGCCTCCCTGGCTGGTGTACCTCCCGGTCTCCCCATGCCTGCAGCACGCCTCCTTCCTCCTCTTCTCCGCGTTTTTCATCGTCTGCACTCTTTCCCACCTCCTCATCCTCCCGAAACCCAAACCCACACACCCCCCGAGCCGCTCTCCTTCCGCTCCTTCCTCCTCCTCTTCCTCCACCTCTTCCGCTCCTCCCGCCTCTTCTGCCTCTGCCTCTTCCTCCTCCGTTAACCCTTCCCCCTCCGCCTTATCCTCCTCTCGAGTACCAAGCTTGAGGACGACAACCGAAGAGGCTGAAGAACCAGATGTTACCACAGCAGCAGAGGCACACTGGGAAGCAGGGGCAGGGCACTGGCTCTCTCTCTTCCTCTCCCTCCTCCTCTCCGTCTCCTGGGCGATTCTGATTCTCTCCGGGCTCCTATCCACTCTCATATACCCCGCTGCTGGCAGCAAGCACAGGGCGTATCCACACGACCTGGCCTATGCAGCCGGCCAGGTGGTAACCTGGTTACTAGCGCTCTGCGTGTTACTGCTGTACGGCAAGCGAAGGGACAGAAGCCTCGTGGGTTCGGCTAGGGTTTGGCTGTTTGCCAATGCCGGTGCGGTGCTGCTGCTTTCTGCTGGTGTGGCGCTAAGGTTTGGCTCCCCTGGAGGGTTGAGGACAGTAGTAGGAAGTGCAGAAGTGGAGGGTACAGCACACAAAGGTGCCTTTGGGGATGAGGCGTCTGCTTTAGATAGCACAGGGGCCTTTGGAGTGTGGAGCGATTTTCTCACACTAGTTACCCTCCCAGTGGCTCTTTTCTTTGGGGTGATTGCGGTCAACGGACGTCCGGGATGGGCTTTGCCTGGGGCGCAATCTCAGCCGTCGGATGTAGAATCTATCGAAGATGGGTTGCGGACGCCGTTGCTGAGCGGTGCAGGAGCAACCAGAGAAGGCCACGTGGCAGAGAAGCCTAAGAAGCAGCATCGGAAATCGATTCTCTCTAGAGAGTCAGTAGGGGGTTCAGGAGAAGCAGAGGAGGGGGGGAATCGGCGGCGTTCACACTTGGAACAGTTGAAAGATGAGGAGGAGGAAGAGAGGAATCCGCAGCAGCAGCAGGAGCCCCCTGTGACCCTCTATGCCTCTGCTGATTGGCTCTCAGCGCTCACGTTCGGGTGGGTCTCGCCGTTCCTGGAGGCAGGCTCGGAGAAGACCGTGGCTGTAGAGGACGTGCCGAGCCTAAGGGCGTGCGACCGCGCCGAAGCTAACTTCCGATCCTTCGATGCGAGCTGGGCGAGGCAGATTGCTGCGGCCGAAGCTACCGAAGCTGCGGCAGCAGATAGGGACAGAGGAACAGGCTCCATTGTCAGTCTCCCTTGCTCACTCGCTCAGGCGTTCTCTTGTGAAAACCTTTGCTTGGTTCTCTATCGATGCGCCTCCGCCCTTTCCTCCTGCATTCTATACGCCAAATCCTCCCTCTCCTCGCTGTTTAGCTCACCTTACGCAGACTGCAAGGCAGAGGGGACTGTAGAGAAGGGGGAGCAGGAGGGGGAGGGGGAGGAGCAGAGCAACCCCAAGGCGACGGTAACCAGGGCTCTCTGGGAGTGTTTCTGGCGGCCGCTGGTGCTGACAGGTGCCCTGGCGCTGGGCAAGACGGGGGTGATGTATGCCGGGCCGCTGCTGCTCAACAGCTTTGTGGCGTTCGCTGCGGGGGAGAGGGCGATCCCAGGGGAGGGCGTGCTGCTCGTGCTGGCCCTGTTTCTTTCCAAGGCATCAGAAATCGTGCTGGAGCACCAGTTCAACTTCAGATCAGAGGTGAGAACGAAGGGGGTTAGTGTTGGGCTTGGTGGGGGCTATCTACCGCAAGGGGCTGCAGCTTCCTCTCACTCTAACATCAGCTCCAATCAAACCCCGTACCACAAACCCTTGCCTCATCTAAGCTGCTTGGGCTGGATATCAAGGTGCCCCTGGTGGGCGCTCTCTGCTGCAAAGGGCTGCAGCCTCCTCCCTACCATGTGCTTAATCACTAAACCCCAAACCCTTTACCGCATCCCAGGTGCTTGGGCTGGACATCAAAGCTGCTCTGGTGGGCGCTCTCTACCTCGAGGGGCTGCAACTCCCTCTCCCTCACTCTTTCATCAGCTCGCCAAAACCCCAAACCCTTTTTACCACATCCCAGGTGCTTGGGCTGGACATCAAAGCAGCCCTGGTGGAGGCTCTATACCGCGAGGGGCTGCATTTTCTTCTCACTCTAACATCAGCTTAAACCCCGTACCCCATACCCAAACCCTAACCTCTGCGCCTCATCCCAGGCGCTTGGCTTGGACATCAAAGCTGCTCTGCTGGGCGCTGTCTACCGCAAGGGGCAGCGATTGAACCTTAATCGACTTTTGTTGTTCTCTATATCCCTTGCTTGCTCCAGGTGCTTGGGCGGGACGTCAAAGCAGCTCTGGTGGGGGCCCTCTACCATAAGGGGGGGCTGCGTTTGAACCTTAATCAACTCTTGTTCTTTATCCTTTGCTCCAGGTGCTTGGGCTGGATATCAAAGCAGCCCTGGTTGGCGCTCTCTACCGCAAGGGGCTGCGGCTGTCGAGCAAAGCGAAGCAGAGACACACGATAGGGGAGATCGTCAACTACATGTCCACGGATGCACAGGTAGGCCCAGGGGCGAATGGGTGGAGAGGGGTGAGAAGGATGGAGGGGCTTTGTTGATGGTAAGTGAAATGGCAAAAAGCAGAGACACACGATAGGGGAGATCGTCAACGACATGTCCATGGATGCCCAGGTAGGCCCAGGTGCGAATGGGTGGAGATGGGTGGAGATGGGAGGAGATGGGTGGAGATCGGTGAGAGGAGAATTGCTGTTTTTTGGTGAGTGAAGTAAATAGGAGCAGAGGCACACGAGAGGGGAGATTATCAGCTACATGTCAACTGATGCCCAGGTGTGAAGGGGTGGAGAGGGGTGGAAAGGGACTGAGGTGGGCATATCATGAAGAGCAAAGATACACTTTAGGTGGAAGTGATGGTTGAAGTGCAAGGGAAGGGATGGTTGGGGTGGAAGTGACGGAAGTTGGGGGGGGAGGAGATACTTGTAAGGCATGCAACTGTCAAGTTCCGAGAAACCATTTGCCATTGCTTGCTTCGTCCTCTCCCTTGCCCCTTACCTCAGCCTTTCCTTGGCTAACTGTTCGTCTTCACATTGCTTGCTCTCTCTTGTCCTCATCTCTTTCTCCCGGTCCCCCTGCCCCAACCCCCCGCCCCCCCCCCTCCTCCCGGTTGACTTTTGAGTCGACTCAAAAGTCTCTTCCCCCTCGTCCCCCCTGCCCCAACCCCCCGCCCCCCCCCTCCTCCCGGTTTTTGCCACTCCCTCGCCCTCCCCTCTTCCTTCACTCTCTCCTCAGTAGATCCGTTGGCTGTCGCGGTCGAATCTACGCTTTGCTACTGCGAGAGATTTCCTCACAGAGCACAACATATGGGTGCTGCCATACCAATAAACCTATTTTTACCCCTCCCCCTCTCTCTTTGCCCGTATCACTGTGCTTTCCCCTCCTCTCTTCCACACCTCATCGTCTGGCGGACATCATGTGGGAGCTGCACACCGAGCTGCACATCATTTGGGTGCTGTGACAACTATGAACTTCTTTTGCCCGCCCCCACTTCCGCCCTTTCCCCCTTCCCTCACCAGCGTCTAGACGACCTGATGTGGGAGCTGCTCAACATCTGGGTGCGAGAGACGTGTATTGACCTCTTTCTCCCCCCTCCCCTTCCACTTTCCCCCCCTCTATCTCACTGCAGCGCCTGGCCGACCTCATGTGGGAGCTGCACAACATCTGGGTGCTGCCGCTGCAGATCGTCTGCGCTCTTGTCATCCTCTTCAATGTGAGCCTGGCCTCTAACCCCTTGTCCTCGTTTGAACAAAGTCGCCTGTGCTCTCATGATCCTCTTCAATGTAAGTGCCCTCTCCCCTCTCCTTCTCGTCCGTTGACCGCCCCCCTCCACTCTGTGATAGCCCTCTCCCCTCTCCTTCTCGTCCGTTGACCGCCCCCCTCCACTCTGTGATAGCCCTCTCCCCTCTCCTTCTCGTCCGTTGACCGCCCCCCTCCACTCTGTGATAGCCCTCTCCCCTCTCCTTCTCGTCCGTTGACCGCCCCCCTCCACAGTGCTGGGCGTGATGCTGACAGTGCTGGGCGTGATGCTGACAGTGCTGGGCGTGATGCTGGCAGTGCTGCTCGCCAACCTCTTAGTGGCATCTGGAATCCACCGCTTCGTCACAGCAATCATGGCAGCAAAGGATCCCCCTCTTTCTCCTCTGTCCTCCTCTCTTCCCCACCCTCCCATGCAGGTCGTTGGCATCAGCATGCTGGCAGGGTCGGGAGTGATGTTAGCTGTGATGCTCGCCAACCTAGCAGTCGCCTCAGGAATCCACCGGTTCATCACAGCCATCATGGCAGCAAAGGATTCGCGCATGAAAGCCACCTCCGAGGCCCTCGCCTCGATGAAGATCATCAAGCTCTACGCCTGGCAGCAGCAGCTCCAAGCCACCCTTCCTCTCTCCCATCCCTCCGCCCTCCCTGTCTCTCTCCCTCCCATGCAGGTTGTTGGCATCAGCATGCTCGCAGGACTGGGCGTGATGTTAGCAGTGATGCTCGCCAACCTAGCAGTGGCCTCAGGAATCCACCGGTTCATCACGGCAATAATGTCCGCAAAGGACGCGCGCATGAAAGCCACCTCTGAGGCCCTCTCCTCAATGAAGATCATCAAGCTCTACGCCTGGCAGCAGCACTTCCAGGCGAAAATTCAGTCCCTTAGGGACTCCGAAGCCTCCTGGCTGGTCAGATTCATGGCATACGCAGCAGTCAACATCTTCCTCCTCTGGCTCACCCCGCTCGCCGTCTCCGTCGCGACGTTTGGCACGATGATCGCCCTCGGGGTGCCGCTGACCCCCGGGTCGGTGTTCACTGCGATCGCGACGTTTCGGATTCTCCAGGAGCCGTTGAGGTCGTTCCCCTCGGTGATCAGCGCGGTGACTCAAGCTATGGTCTCGCTGAAGAGGCTGTCGAGGTTCCTGTCGGATGAGGAGCTGCAGTGGGATGCGGTGGAGAGCGTTGGGAGGGGGGAAGGAGGGGATGGGGAGGGGGGCGAGGGACTGGTGAGGGGTGGTGAGAGATTGAATGGGGGTGATTCTGGAGTTGGACTTGGAAGCGGCCAGCAGCAGGGGGGGGAGAAGGAGGGGGAGAGGGAGGGGGAGAGGGAGGGGGAGAGGGAGGGGGAGAAGGAGGGGGAGAGGGAGGGGGAGAAGGAGGGGGAGAGGGAGGGTGAGAAGGAGGGGGAGAGGGAGGGGGAGAAGGAGGGGAAGAGGGAGGGGGAGAAGGGGAAGGGGGAGGTGGAGAGTGAGAATGGGGGGAGGGAGGAGTCTTCGGGGAGGGGGAAGGAGGAGCAAGAGGAGGGGGAGAGGCAGAAGCAGGGAGAGGTGGGGCCGGACGTGGTGGTTCGGATTGAGAGGGCTACGTTCAGCTGGGATGCAGACCCACAGAAGCCCACGTTGACTGACGTTGACCTGGAGATTAGGCGGGGAATGAGAGTGGCCGTCTGTGGGACCGTGGGGGCGGGCAAATCCTCCCTGCTGTCGTGCATCCTGGGGGAGGTGCCAAAGCTGCAAGGGAAGGTGAGGTGTTGGATTGGAATTGAGAACTCTACCTGGAGGTCAGGCACGGCATGCGTGTGGTTATCTGTCAGAATGTAGGGGCGGGCAAGTCCTCCCTGCTCTCGTGCATCGTGGGGGAGATTCCGAAGCTGCAAGGGAAGGTGAGGTGTGTAAGGCGGAGTCTGGGGTAGGGTTTCTGGGCTTTGGCAAGTCCAGCCTGCTGTCTTGTATTCTGGAGGAGGTACCAAGGCTGCAAGGGGTGAACCTGTCTCAACTTCTCCTCCCTCCTCCCTCCTTCCCTCCCCACTCCCCTCCTCTCCGCTCCCCTGTCTCAGGTGTTTGTTGCGGGCCCCACAGCCTACGTCCCCCAGTCCGCGTGGATCCAGAACGCCACCATTCGGGACAATATTTTGTTCGGCCAACCACTAGACCGCCCGCGCTACCAGGCGACCCTGCAGCAGTGCGCGCTGGTGGCTGATCTGCGGCTGTTCCCCCGGGGGGACGAGACGCAGATAGGAGAGCGAGGGGTGAACCTGTCGGGCGGCCAGAAGCAGCGCATCCAGCTGGCCAGGGCGATGTACGCCGGGGTGGGGATGGGTGCAGAGGTTTATCTGCTGGACGATCCCTTCAGTGCCGTGGACGCCCACACGGGATCAGAGCTCTTCATGGTAAGGCTTGGTTGAGGGAAGACTTCAGGTAGGGCACTGGCATTTTTGGTGGGGCAAGTGGGGTCTATTGGGTAGGGCGCTGTGGAGTTGGGACGAGACGCAGATAGACGAGCGAGGGGTGAACCTGTCGGGCGGCCAGAAGCAGCGCATCCAGCTGGCCCAGGCGATGTAGGCAGGGGTGGGGATGGGTGCGGAGGTTTATCTGCTGGACGATCCCTTCAGCGCTGTGGACGCCCACCATACCGGTTCTGAGCTGTTCATCGTGAGACAATCTGGTGTCATGGGGTGCAGAGCATTTGGGTTTGTGTGTGGTCATTCACCAGGAGATGGGTGCGGAGGCTTATCTGCTGGACGACCCCTTCAGCGCTGTGGACGCCCACACAGGCTCTGAGCTGTTCATGGTGAAACGATTGGGGGTTTAGGACACTGGGGTTTAGGGTGAATCTGCCTGGGGTTTAAGATTGACCTAAATCCCTCCATCTCCCCTTCCCCCCCCCCCCCTCTTTTCCCTCTGTCTATTCCCACCAGGAGTACCTCGAGGGCCTGGCCAGCAGGACTGTCATCCTGGTGACGCACCAAGTGGAGTTCCTGGTGGTATCTCTCACGCAACCTCCCCACCCAACCCTACCCTCTCCCTGTGGTGTCACAGGAGTACGTGCTCAAGGGCCTGGCCGACAGGACTGTCATCCTGGTGACGACCCTGGCCTTCTTACGCATCCCTCTCATCTCCCCCTCACTCCTTCTCCCCACGCGTCCCTCTCCCTCCCATCAGGAGTTCGTGCTCAAGGGCCTGGCTGGCAGGTCTGTCATCCTGGTGACGCACCAAGTGGAGTTCCTTCCCGCTGCTGACCTCATCCTGGTGAGATGCTGGCGTCATCCTGGTGAGATGCTGACCTCATCCTGGTGAGGTGCTGGCGTCATCCTAGTGAGATGCTGACGCCATCCTTGCAAATGCTCTGTCTGTCATTCCTGTCTGTCTGTTTTGAGACCATTCTGCTCCATGTTGAGTCGGTTTGGTTTGGTTTGGTTTGGTTCGGTTCAGTTCGGTTCGGTTCGGTTCGGTTCGGTTCGGTTCGGTTCGGTTTGTCCTTGAAGGAAGCCAGTGCTTCATCGCCCTCACTTCTTTAATCCTTGCCTTTCTCCCCCTTCAACTAGGGGTTGAGGGAAGGGCGCATATTGCAGGCAGGCAGAGCGCTACAATCAGCTGCGGGCACACACTGAACGCTTTTGAGGCGCCTCAAAACCATTTTGAGGCGCCTCAAAATGCGGGCAGAGGGCGCACACTGAACCCTTTTTCTCCTCCTCCCCCTGTCGTCCCCACCCCCCACACACAACCAGCAGGTGATGCAGGACAGGATGGGCGCATTGTCCACAAGGGGTGCTACGACCAGCTGCTGGCAGAGGGCACTGAACTCTCTGCCCTGGTGGAGGCACACACTGACTGACGCTCCTCTTTCCCTCCCCCCTGCCCCCTGTCTTCCCTTTCATCAGGTGATGAAGGAAGGGCGCATAGTGCAGGCAGGAAGATACGACCAGCTGCTGGCAGAGGGCACTGACTTCTCTGCCCTGGTGGAAGCACACACGGACGCGCTGGAGAGTGTTGGAACAGCCACTGCCGCTGCTGCTACAACTGCTGCCGCTGCCGTTGCTGCTGCTGCCGATGCAGCAGCTGCTGCTTCAGCTTCTTCCTCTGCTCCTGCTCCGGCTGCTGCTGCTGCTGCTCCTGCTGCTCCTGCTGCTGCTGCTACTGCTGCTGCTGCTGCTGCTGCTGCTGGTGCCTCACATGCTGCTTCTGAACTTCCCCCCTCCTCCTCATCCACTCCTCTCCTCCCCAAGCAACCCACCGATTCCCTCCCCAGCAGACCTCCCCCCCATCCACAGCTTCGGAAACCCTCCGACCCGAACCTGCGAAAACGCTCGGCACCGAACCTGCTGCGCAAGGCCTCGCATGCGCAGCTTCGGAAGGCGTCCGATCCCATGCTCCTGCACACAGCATCCCCAGAGTCCCACCAGATCCTAGATAACATGGACATAGGGGACTTGGGTGGGAATTCTGTTGGTGTTTCCGGTGCTGCTGGTGCTGGTGGTGGTGCTTTTGGGGGGGCTATAGGGGAGGATGGGGATGGGCAGTTGATTAGTGACGAGGAGAGGGAGTCCGGGCGGGTTTCCTTGTCCGTATACTGGCAGTACATGACGAAGGCGCTGGGCGGCTGGCACGTGCCGCTGCTGCTGCTGGTCCAGCTGGCGTGGCAGGCGCTGCAGATCGGATCTGACTGGTGGCTCGCCACGTACAGCTCAGCAGACTCGGGAAACAGCTCAGCAGGGGCAGGCTACACGTCAGCAGGAACGGGGTACACGTCAGCAGGGGCTGAATACAGCTCTGCAGCGGCCGGGTTAAGTAGCAGTGTTCTGAGCAACCTCACCTCTGCTCTCTCCTCTCCTTTCGCCTCTAATCTCTCCTCCTCCCTCACCCCATCCCTCTCCTCCCCCTCCTCCTCCTCTCTCTCCTCCTCTTTCTCCTCCTCCCTTTCATTCCTTACCCCCTCAACCATCACCCCTTCGGCCTTCATGAGGCTGTACTCGTTATTAGCTCTGGGCAGCGGCGTGTTTGTGCTTTTAAGAACAGCCGTCATATCGTGGGCCGGGGTGCTGACCACGCAGGCGTTCTTCAGAGGCATGCTGCAGTCCGTCTTCCGCGCCCCCATGGCGTTCTTTGACTCAACACCTATCGGAAGGATCTTATCGAGGGTAAGCTACACATACACATTCACTCAGTGACAATAAGGTGTAATTGCATTCCCTTGTCAACTTCACTCCCTCGCATTCCCTTCACAAGTGTCCTGTCCACTCCACTCCTCCCTTCGTCCCTTCTCCCTCTCTCCCTTCCCTCTCCTCTCCAGGCGTCCACGGAACAAAGCGCTCTAGACTTGGACCTGCCATTTGAGGTCGGCTTGTCTCTTGCCATGCTGTTCCAGCCAGCTGCTCAGCATTCCTTTCGTCGCTCCCTCTAAACCCCTATCTCCTCTTCCTCCATGCCCATCCCCCTCCCTCTCCAGGCCTCAACCGATCAAAGCGCCCTGGATCTGGAACTGCCATTCGAATTTGGGTCTCTCCTCGCCTTGCCATGCTGTTCCAGCTGCTGGGCATCCTCTTCGTCACTTCCTTCATCACGTGGCCCCCATCCGCCCCCCTTCCCTCTTCGCCCCCCTCTCCCTCGCCTTCCCCTCCAGGCCTCCACCGATCAGAGCGCCCTAGAATTGGATCTACCCTTTGAGTTCGGCTCCCTCCTCGCCATGCTGTTCGAGCTGCTCCTTCTTTCCCCCTTGCCTCCCCTCCCCTCTCCACACCTCCACGGATCAAAGTGCTCTACACTTGGACCTGCCGTTTGAGTTCGGCTCCCTTTTAGCCATGCTGTTCCAGCTGCTCGGGATCCTCTTCGTCACCTCCATCATCACATGCCGGCCCTTATGCCACCCCCCATCTCCCTCCCCTCTCCTCCCCTCCAGGCCTCCACAGACCAGAGCGCCCTGGACTTGGACCTGCCATTCGAGTTCGGGTCTCTCCTCGCCATGCTGTTCCAGCTGCTGGGCATCCTCTTCGTCACCTCCATCATCACATGGCCGGTGTTCTACGCCATCATCCCCCTGGCGTACCTCTACTTCTCCTTCCAGGTAGGGTCTGCCCCGTACCTGGTAACACCACCTACCCCTTGTAACCCATGCCTCCATCCATCATCACATGGCCCGTGCTCTACGCCATCATCCCCCTGGCGTACCTCTACTTCTCCTTCCAGGTGAGAGACGTATAACATAGTTCACACAGATAGCACCCACCTCAGCTGACACCTTCCTCCCTCCATCACGTGGCCCCGTGTTCTACACCATCATCCCACTGGCGTACCTCTACTTCTCCTTCCAGGTGAGACTGGTAACACTGTAACTCAACAGAGCCTACATATCATAAGGGCGCACCCACATCCTTCATAACATGGCCAGTCGTCTGCGGCATTATTCCCCTCGCCTGCCCCAACCTCCCCTTCCAGGTGAGACTGGTAACACTGTAGCACGGATGTAACCTACAGCTTGATAACCCATCCACCCTTCATTCCACGGCCTGTGTTCCATTCCTTCATTCTCGTGGCATATCGCTGGTTCTCCCTCCAGGCAAGACTTTGCATTTGTAACACAAATACAATTTAACCCTTCGGTAACCCATTCCTCTTTCTATCACATGGCTTGCTGACAAATTTGTATTACTCCTTGCAAACGAGACAACGTAACAAGTCAGCCGTATATGATACCTTCCTTGAAATCATCCAAAGTGCTCTTCTGGCAATGTTATGCCCTTTCAGCCATAATCTGTAACAATGTAACAAATCAAAGTTACTCCCTCTCAGCCAACAAAGTATGCCCTCCCCTTATGTATGTACCCCGCTTCCCTTCCTCCACAGGAGGAGTACTACCTCACAACACCGCGTGATAGGAGTCTAGTTTTGAGGCGCCTCAAAACTAGACTCCTTTTGTATGTACCCCGCTTCTCTTCCCCCACAGGAGTACTACCTGATTTTGCAGGGTGTTTTTAAGAATTCTCAAAAACACTCCGCTTCCCTTCCCCCACAGGAGTACTACCTGATTTTGCAGGGTGTTTTTAAGAATTCTAAAAAACACTCTGCTTCCCTTCCCCCTCAGGAGTACTACCTGATTTTGCAGGGTGTTTTTAAGAATTCTAAAAAACACTCTGCTTCCCTTCCCCCTCAGGAGTACTACCTGATTTTGCAGGGTGTTTTTAAGAATTCTCAAAAACACTCCGCTTCCCTTCCCCCGCAGGAGTACTACCTGATTTTGCAGGGTGTTTTTAAGAATTCTCAAAAACACTCCGCTTCCCTTCCCCCACAGGAGTACTACCTGATTTTGCAGGGTGTTTTTAAGAATTCTAAAAAACACTCTGCTTCCCTTCCCCCTCAGGAGTACTACCTGATTTTGCAGGGTGTTTTTAAGAATTCTCAAAAACACTCCGCTTCCCTTCCCCCGCAGGAGTACTACCTGATTTTGCAGGGTGTTTTTAAGAATTCTCAAAAACACTCCGCTTCCCTTCCCCCACAGGAGTACTACCTGATTTTGCAGGGTGTTTTTAAGAATTCTAAAAAACACTCTGCTTCCCTTCCCCCTCAGGAGTACTACCTGATTTTGCAGGGTGTTTTTAAGAATTCTCAAAAACACTCCGCTTCCCTTCCCCCGCAGGAGTACTACCTGATTTTGCAGGGTGTTTTTAAGAATTCTCAAAAACACTCCGCTTCCCTTCCCCCACAGGAGTACTACCTGATTTTGCTGGGTGTTTTTAAGAATTCTCCTTGTGTATGTACCCCGCTTCTCTTCCCCCACAGGAGTACTACCTGACAACATCTAGGGAGCTTTCCCGCCTGAATGGCGTCACCAAGGCACCCATCATCGAACATTTCAGCGAGTGAGCTGCTTCTACCTGGCATCCACACATTCCAAATCAAACGAAGCACACAAGGGAGAACGGAGCGTACTTTTCTTGAAGGGAAAAAAGGGATCCTCTAGGTTAGAAAAATACGCTCCGTTCTGCACATTCCAGGTAAGGGAGAACGGAGCGTACTGCTTTTGTGTCGACTCAAAAGCAGACTCATACACGCGGTTTTTACATTCCAGGTAAGGGAGAACGGAGCGCATTTTTCGAACCTAGACGATCCCTTTTTCTCTTCAAGTTTTGCCCAAGACACGGGCGTTTGAGCCACTCCACTGTCCTCTCTGCTGCGCACACTGCCATGACGCTGTGGGTCTTCTTTGCGCCATGGCTGGTTTCCACCGTATGGAAATCAATCACCAAGCACTATTTGATGACGTGAAGAATCCACCGTAATTGCCTTATGGATTCTTCACGTTTTGAGACGTCTCCAAGCACTATTCTTCACGCATCCCTCCATCAACCCTCTCCCCCAGGTCCCTGTCAGGGCAGCCGACATCTGCGCATTCGCCCAGCAGCCCCGCTTCGCTCATAAGAACGCCGAGAGGGTGGATACCAACAACCCAACTATGTACTTACTCTGCTTTTCTCTCTCTCTTTCTCAGGTCCCTGTCAGGGGCAGCGGTCATCCGCGCATTCGCCCAGCAGCCCCGCTTCGCTCATAAGAACGCCGAGAGGGTCGACACCAACAACCGAGTGGCCTTCCACTATGGCGCCTGCACCGTGTGGCTGGGCGTTCATTTGGAGCTATTGGGAGCTCTGCTGCTCTGTTTCTCGGCGCTCATGCTCGTATGGCTGCCTCCCTCGGTCATTTCGCCAGGTGAGATCCATTGGCCTTCCACTATGGCGCCTGCACTGTGTGGGTGGGGATGCACCTCGAACTGCTGGGGGCTCTGCTGCTGTGCTTTTCAGCCCTCATGCTTGTCTGGCTGCCGCCTTCGGTCATATCACCAGGTAAGCATAACACCCGACAGCAATATTCGCAGGCAGACACACCAACAACCGTGGCCTTGCACTATGGCGCCTGCACCGTGTGGCTGGGCGTTCATTTGGAGTTATTAGGGGCATTGCTCCTGTGCTTCTTGGCACTCATGCTAGTGTGGCTGCCGCCTTCGGTCATCTCGCCAGGTGAGAGTACCTTTCCTCTCTCAAGATGGTGCGCCCCACAACCGCATGGCCTTCCTTCCACTATGGTGCCTGCACCATGTGGCTGCGTCTGCAACTGCAGGGCGTGTTCTGCTACTGCTGGGCGTTTTCTGTGCTTCTCGGCACTCATGCTGGTGTGTGTGGCTGCCCCCGTCAGTCAACTCGCCGGGTGGGATACCCCTCTCTCCCTCACCCAAGCAGCCCAGCACACCAACCACCGCGTCGCCTTCCTTCCACTATGGCGCCTGCACTGTGTGCCTGGGCGTACAACCCCCCCCCTCCCCCCGCCTCCTCCGGCCTAGCCGGCATCTCTCTGTAGCACGGCCTTGCTCTCTCTCAGGGTCTGCTCCACGTCGTTTGGACCTGGTGCGCCCTCCTCTATTCACCCTTCCCTGCTCCCCTTACCTTCCTTTCTCCCCTTCCGGGCCTGGCCAGCATGTCTCTCTCACGGCCTCTTCTATGTGGTCTGGATCTGGTGCGCGCTCGAAAACCAGATGGTCTCAGTTTGCCAATCCCTCCTCTGCTTCCCTCCTTCCGCTCCTCCACGCCTGGCAGGCATGTCCCTTTCCTACGGTCTCGCCCCTTCCCTTCCCCTCCTCCAGTCCTGGCCGGCATGTCCTTTTTCAACGTGCCCCCAGAAGCGCCCCTCACCACCTGTTCTCTCCTCCTATCCCCTCTCCTCTGCTTCCCTCCTTCCCCTCCTCCAGGCTGGCCGGCATATCCCTCTCCTACGGCCTTGCACTCTCCCAGAGCCTCTTCTACGTGGTGTGGATCTGGTGCGTGCTCGAGAACCAGATGGTCTCAGCTTGCCAATTCCTCCTCTGCTTCCTTCTCCCACCAACCCCCCCTCCAGGCCTGGCCGGCATGTCTCTCTCCTACGGCCTCGCCCTCTCCCAGGGCCTCTTCTACGTGGTCTGGATCTGGTGCGCGCTCGAGAACCAGATGGTCTCAGTCGAGCGCATCCTGCAGCTTTCTCTTCCCATTCCCATTTCCCTCTCCCTTCCCTTTCTCCACCCTTCCCTCACCCCTCTTCCTTTCAACCCCCCAGGCCTGGCCGGCCGGCATGTCCCTGTCTTACGGCCTAGCCCTATGTCATCTGGATCTGGGGCACCCTCGAGAACCAGATGGTCTCAGTGAAGCGAATGCTCTAGCTCTCCCACCCCAATCTGTCATCTCCTCTCCGTCCCTCCCTCCTTCCCCTCCTCCATTCCTGGCAGGCATGTCCCTTTCCTACGGTCTCGCCCCTTCCCTTCTCCTCCAGGCCTGGCAGCATGTCCCTTTTCAACGTGCCCCCAGAAACGCCCCTCACCTCCTGTTCTCTCCTCCCATCCCCTCTCCTCTCCCCTCCTCTCCCTCCAGGCCTGGCCGGCATGTCTCTCTCCTACGGCCTCGCCCTCTCTCAAGGCCTCTTCTACGTGGTCTGGATCTGGTGCGCGCTCGAGAACCAGATGGTCTCAGTCGAGCGCATCCTTCAGTTCTCCCACCCAAACGTCCCTCCTGAGGCCCCCCTCACAATCCCGGCCCACCGCCCCCCCTCCTCCTGGCCCTCCCTCGGCGCCATCACCTTCGAAAACCTTCAAATTCGGTACCGGCCAGACCTCCCCTTGGTCCTCAAAGGCGTGTCTCTGCAGATCGACGGTGGGGAGAAGGTGGGGGTGGTGGGGCGCACCGGCAGTGGAAAATCAACGCTTGTCGTGGCGTTGTTTCGGCTGGTCGAGCCGACCGCCGGCCGGGTGGTGATCGATGGGGTGGATACGAGTAGGATCGGTTTGACGGACCTGAGGAGCAGGCTTGCGATCATACCGCAAGACCCGACCCTGTTTCAAGGGTCAGTTCGGATGAATGTGGATCCGGCTGGAGAGTACAGCGATGGGGAGATCTGGGAGGCGCTGGACAGGTGCCAACTGGGGGAGGTGGTTCGCGGCATGGAGGAGAAGCTCGAGGCGCAAGGTGAGACCTTGATGCTCAGGGTAAGGTTTAAACAGAGGTATAGCTGGGCAGGTGCCAGCTGGGGGAGTTGGTTCGTGGCATGGAGGGGAAGCTGGAGGCTCTCCATTGGTGGAAGGAGGGGAGAACTGGAGCGTGGGGCAGAGGCAGCTCTTCTGCCTTTAGTGAACCCTGTATTCTTCTGTAAACCATTGATTATCCCACTAATGCCCCCCAGTGGTGGACGGAGGGGAGAACTGGAGCATGGGGCAGAGGCAGCGTTTCTGCCTTTAAGAAACCCCCCTATTATTCTTGCAACCACTGATTGCCTCCCAATGTTTCCCTCTCCAATCCCCTCCAGTGGTGGAAGGTGGGGAGAACTGGAGTGTGGGGCAGAGGCAGCTCTTCTGCCTGGGGCGGGCCCTGCTGAAGCGCACTCGCATCCTGGTGCTCGATGAAGCGACAGCGTCCGTTGATTCGGCGACCGACGCCGTGATCCAACGGACGATAAAGGAGAGCTTTGGCGACGCCACAATCATCAGCATCGCCCATCGGATCGCCACAGTCATTGACAGCAGTAAAGTGGTGGTCATGGAGCAAGGTGAGCGCACGCTTCGATCGAATAAAGTCATGTTTTTAGGGCTCCTTAAGAAATATACATCGCGCATCGGATTGCCATGGTTATCAACTGCAACAAAGTGGTGGTAAGTGTCAGAAGTTGATAAGACAGGAGCACGCTACTTGTGACATGATTGCATGTGCATTTAAGAGTTCATTCATACGATATATGTTTCTTCTTTTTCCTCTACTCTCTACCCCTTGCAGGCACTGTAGCTGAGTGTGACAAGCCAGCCAGGCTCCTAGAGGACAAGGCGTCCATGTTTTCACGCCTTGTAGCTGAATACTCTGCTCGCTCCACTGACATGGCGGATGTTGCAAGGAGCATGTCCATAGATAATCTGGAAGCAGTGGGTAGAGAGTCATCCACATCATGACACAACTCTTCAGAAATGCTTGCCGAATCATGCGTCTTACCCTCATGTATTGAGGTACGGTACATGTTACTCGCTCTGCATCCCGTTTCGCGGACCCGTGACTTGCGTTGATCAGCAACACAAGTGTAACATTATTTCATTAATGGCTTGGAATGGAATGGAACCCTTACACATGGTGTAAAATAGGAGCAATCTTTCAAGGTACCGTTGTAGTGCACTCGTTTCCTGATGCTGGAAGTGTTTGTGTCGAGATGACATACTGACGGGAACCAAATCTATTGGCTCAAGTCGCCGTGTCGAGCGTGTCAATCACGTCATATACAACCAATCGTGTTCCCCGTACCCATCGGGTGACCCGACCAGGTGATGGTTCGACATCCCCGAACCAAGTGAGCTTATCGCCGAACATTTCGCGAAAACCACGTCCGTGTATCGCGCTCGTCGATGTCGTCGAAGGCGCCATTTCGACCGTCCGATGTTTTTACCCATGTCCCCAACGAGCCTGCTCGAGTTTCGCCACAGCAAAACGCGTTGCCGGACGTGTGTTGCATGGCGGGCGACAAACGGGGGCATGAGAAGGGGTGTACAGCTCTGTATGTGCATGCAGTGCTTGCCAGGGCGTTTTGGGAAGAATGACCAATTTACCTTGCCTAGTCTGAGGATGAAATTATTCCCATTCTATGCATTCTATGGCTGCCTAGTCTGCCATTATTCCCTCAGTCGAAAGCTGGGAGCTAGTACACTAGCAGGCGTAAGGTGTCTGCACGCTAGGTAGAGAACATCGCATTAGAGGCTAGCAAAAGATAAGGGTAGCAAACTCTCCTCTCTTCCTCCCTTGGTTTCACCTTGGCCTTCCTTGCGCCGGCGTAGCTTACTGCTGAGATTCTCGTACCTGCCATTTCCCGTGTCTTACCTTGCTTGTGGGAGCTTGGATTTAATCTTTCGAGCTGCGTTGTGGAGCGAGGCCATGGGTGGAGGTGAGGGAATTTGTGCGTCCTTCGCTCACCAGAGATTCGAGTCACAGCTTGTATTTCGGTCCACCTTAGAGGCCTTTTTAATTCGTATAACACCCCTACGACTATTTGTTGTCCTCCGATGTCTTTTTCTCCTCCTCTTTCAGGGAAATGGCCGCGCGTGGGTGAAGAAGGCGTGGAGGGCGCGTGGGAATTGGTGGGCTCGCCAGCGTCTGTATCGGACGGTGAAGTATCGGACACGGAGCAAGCGGAGCAGTCGGAGCAATCGGAACAGTCGGAGAAATCGGAGCAACCGGAGCAATCTGGCGCTGAACAGTTGGATTTAGCGTGTGCTGTCTGCGCTGGAGGGGGTGTTGACGTCGAGTCTTCTTCGGCTGACGTCGAATTCTTGCCTGCTGACGCCGAATCCTCTCCTTCTGACGTCGAATTCGTTACCCCGTTGACCGATTCGGAACCGGCGTCTCGAGAACGCTCTACTTTGCCAGTTTCTTCTCTTCATGACGTTATCCAGACGGCTGAACTGACGGCTGATGCTGAGCAGACGGCTGAACTAACGGCTGAACTGACTGCGGATGCTGAACTAACGGCTGAATTGACAGCTGAACTGACGGCCGATGCAGAGCAATCAGGTGAACTGACGGCGGATGCAGAGCAGTTAAGTGAACTGACGGCTGGTGAAGAAGTGGTTGCTCTTCTGGCTGAAGCAAGCGCATCAGCCTTAGCTTCCCTGGAGTCCGTGCCTAATGTCCCCGCGCTGGTTGCTGATGCTCCTGCTGCCGCTTCCGATGCACATGTTGCAGGTTCTGCCGGCTCTACTGCTTTGAATGCTTCTGATGCTTCTGATGCTCCGGATGCTCTAAATGCTTCTGATGCTGTCGATGCACCTGATGCAAAGGACGGTCAGCCAGTTGTTAAGCCCCAAGACGACCGTGAAGCGGAAGCGAAGGGGAGCGAGGGCACGGGAAACCAGGGCGGACAGGAAGAGGGGAGCGAGAGTGACCACGGGATTGAGAGCGACGTCGTGCTGGGTGCTGGCGGGCGTGGGGAGGAGGAGAAGGGTGCTGTGCTCCTGGTAGAGGCTGATCTGTCCGCTGCTACTGCTGCTGCTGTGGAATATCAATGGCTCACAACTTTCGGTGCTGCTGCTGCTGATTCCGGCGATTCTTCCACCCCTCCTGCTGCTGCCGGTAGCACTCAGGCGAAGCTGGCGTGGCGCCTGGCAGGCGCTTTGTCCCAAGCGGCAGGTGCAGGGAAGGCAGGTGCGCTGGCGGATTTGGCAGTTGTGACACGTGCGGCTGACGTCGCGCCATCGACATATGATGCTGCTGCTACAGCTGGTGCTGGTCTTTGCCCCTCTGATACCAGCCCCCTGCACCTGCTGAGGCCAGCGTTTGCCGGTTCTCCTTGCGTTCTATCCGCGTTACAAGTGGGCGCCCCAGCGTTACAGGGTAACACTAGCCACGGCACGTGTGCAGGAAAGGGAGCAGACGCAGTTGAACCGTCCCCAGGTGGCACCTCCTTGCCGCTGCTTGTGCCGTTCACCCCAACGTTCTCTGCTGCTCCCGCCAAGGCTGAAGGGGAAGCAGGGGTTTTTGCACCACTGCTGGTTGACTTACTCTGCTCTGGGCTCAAAGCACTGCCAGCGGCTGCGGCTTCTGATTCTGCGGCCGCTGCTGCTGCTGCTGCTGGTGCCGAAGTCAGCTGCGAATCAGCTGCCGACAGCTCATCTGCTGCTGTGTCTGCTGCCGTCTTGGTGCTCTCTGTGACCGACCTGAACGCACTCCGACTGCTCTGTGAAGGGGACGGCATGGGCGAGGAGGGGTGGGAGAAGGGTGCCGAGCTTCTGAAGCAGCTGCGGGCACTGTTTGACCCTCTGCGCCTCGCCTTTCGAAGTAAGTGGCTGGCTACTGCCAGGCTTAGTGTGCGATGCGGGGCGAGAAAAGGGTGCAGCGCTGCTGAAGCAGCTGCGGGCACCGTTTGACCCTCTGCGTCTTGCCTTTCGATGTACGCACTTGTCTGATGCCGTGCTTACTGCGGCCTTCGTTTTCTTCAACCGTGGTCAAACTGCGCCTCTCTGCATGTCTAAACTTGAAATGCTCTCACAATCTGGAAATGTTCCCCTTCTCACATTTCCTGCTGCTTTCGTCCTGCCTCTTGCCACACCCCTCCCTTTCCCGTTCCAGACTCCCAGGGAGTGCCCATCGCTCTTCTCAACACCCACTCCCTCTCACCCAATACCCTCGCCCACTGCCGCTCCTTCCTTCTCTCCTCCCTGCACCTCCCCCCATCCTGGCCCATCTTCTCCATCCCCTCTCTGTTGAAACCACCTGGCGCGCCTGCCAATGCACCTGAGTCCGGAGAATCACCTGAGTTGGAAGGCGCTGCTGCACTGCTTATCTCGGTGGTACACCTCTCGAGACTCTCAGCAGCGGTGTGTGGAGGAGGGGGTAGGAGCAAAGGAGGGGTGATTGGAGCCGGTGCAAGCAGGTCAAGTAATTTCAGCCAGGCAAGCGAGTCAGAGGAGTGCAACAAGTGGGCGGCTCTCTGGCAGGCTGCAGATTCCCTCTCCTCAGGCCGACTCTCCCACTGCGTCTCCACCGTCATTCCCCACCTGCACCAGCTCTACCTCCCCTTCCAACCCCACCTTCACCAGTTGAACCTTCAACTCCACCGCCGCTTCCCCTCTCTCCACCAACAGCTCTCCTCTTATTACCACAGCCCGCGCAAGCTCGTTCTCCCCCTCTCCCTCCTCCTCCTCGCTCTCCTCCTCATCTCCTTCCTCCTCTCAGGTCTCCTCCTCCTTGTCCTTCGCTCCTGGATCCACCACGGGGCTCCCTTCCCGTTCACTATGGACCTCCACCTGTCGCCACTTCTTGATCTGGTTTCTGCTGCATGTGGCTGTAATGCTCCTGGTGCTGGTGCTGGTGCTGGTGCTGGTGCTGCTGGTGATGGTTCCTGCAATACAGGGCCTTATTTCGGGCCGTACAATCATGAGGCGAGGGGATGGTGGAACTGGTGGGGACCCTCGTCCCACCACCACCACCACCGGCAGCACTACTACTACCGCACTAGATGGACTCCGGCACGGGACTGATTGGGCTTCAGCACCTGATTGGATGGCTTTGGAGGGGTTTCTGGATAGCCCGCATTTGACCATCCGCCCACCACTGCCACCACTGCCAGCTCTACTGCAACCGCACTGGATGGCCCACTGCATGGGATGAAGCCCTCTGTGCCTTTTGCCTCGTGACAATACCTAGCTAGCTCTCATCCCACCCTAACCTCCGCCCATCCATCCGGGACCCGTCCATCCATCCGTCCATCCATCCGGGACCCGTCCATCCATCCGTCCATCCATCCGTGACCTGTCCATCCATCCATCCACCATCTCCACCATGGCTAGCAAGACCCCCATGACCACCATCATCATCACTACTATGGCGGAACTATATGGGTCCCTTTAGATTGATTGGCTAGGTGCTTAGTGCTGTACAGAAGGGGTCCTGCCTAGCACCATCTGCCCACCGCCGCTGCCAGCAGCACTGTTTCCGTGCTTCGGTAGAGCCGGACTGAGTGGGGCTTTGCTGGGAGTGAATGGTTTTCTTGAGAGTACGGCAGGTAACATTTGGGGGGCTGGTGGGAGAAGGTGGCTCATGGTCCGAGGGAGACAGAGTTTGTACATTTTTAGAGGTCCCCTTCGGATGGTACTAGGACTTTCGTGGTGGAAGTTGTATATAATCTTGAACATTGGTGTTCTATGGGCGTATGGGAGTCTATCAAGGAAACTGAGTTGTATAGGTTGGCATGCATGTAGGAGACTACACGTTTGGTTTGCTAGCAGATAAATGTTGAACTAGTTCTTCATTGTGTTCTACATTGTAGCGAAGCGCTTCACACAGTAACCATAACGAATTTGCGAAGCAGCTGGACACACAACAACAAATTCGCCATGCGTCGTGGGGAGGTCGCATCGCAACACAGCAGCTCTCGCAATTAGGCCGGGCGAATGTGAGCTATCGCTGGCGAGTATGGGCAAACCTTTCGCAAGAGGCGTTTCTGTTTCTAGCTGGACACTGCAAGTCTCTCAAGCCGAATTGTTCTGGGGGAGTGCGACTGTTGGCCAGTGTGACTGTGTAACTGCATATACATCGAGCCATGTTGTTTCTCTTAGTTTTGACTATTCGCGGCTCGTAGAGGGAGAAGTCTGGTTACGACCTGATAAAATGCAACCCAAATTTGAAGAGCGAGAAGCGCTGCCCGCCCTCCCGTCAACATGGCTCCTGTCATATGCCGTGCGACACTCTCAAGGAAACCGAGGACAACCTGGCGTTTATTGTCCAAGCCCAGCAATTACTGAACTAACCGAAGTTTTCCATTTTTAGGGACGCCTGTCCAAGACGCACGCCTTCACCAGGTCGAACTCAACGTGGGACTTGTCAGACATGCGTCGACGACACGCCACAGTCAAAAGATCCAAGCCGACCAAGCAGCCAGTTCCGCTGTCTCAGTCCTCTTGGCTATTCGCGTAAGCCAGACCAAAGCGCGCTACGAAGAGTCGCGCGAAAAATCAAGTTTTTACTAAAGATGCTTCTAGATTCCGTCAAAATGCCCCACCAGCGCCCAACCAGCGCCCAACCAGCAACCAGCGCCCAACCAGCGCCCAACCAGCAACCAGCGCCCAACCAGCGCCCAACCAGCGCCCAACAAGCAACCAGCGCCCAACAAGCAACCAGCGCCCAACCAGCCAACATGCCCCCTCGTCTCCCCAGATAGCATCTACCTCACCGTCCGCAAGCGACGGTCGTTCATGGCGCCTAAAGCATCTGACAAACCCGCGAGGGACGGTCCTTTCATGGCGCCTCCAGCACGAGCCACCGTCCTCAAGAGGAGGCCCTTCAGGGCGCCTACAAACATCGATGCTGTCCACTCACTCCCCACCACAATTACTAGATTCCCTTCAACCTGATTCTCAGTACCACGACCTCAGTTCATCGATTCGCGCGGCAGTGCTGCTTATTTCATTCGACGAAATAATCCGCTCGTTGCTTACTAAGAAGCTGTAGTATAACATTGCTCGTTCCAACCGGCCCTCGCGATGGCGCGCTTCGACCTTTCAATTCTGGCGCTCGTACTCATGGCCGCCTTCGCCGTGTCGGCCTTTTCAACGGGAGCGAGCGCCCAGTCCTACCTCACGATCAAGGCCGCGGCGGCCCGAAAGACCGCGAACGACGCGGAAGTGGTGACGAACGCAGCGCTGGCGGACTACAACGCCAAGCTCAAGGCGGAGCAGGCGATTCAGAAACTCATCGACGACGCGAACGCCGCACTGGCTGCGTCGCAGACGACTCTCGCGAAAACGAAGAAGCAGCTGGACGACGCGAGGACGAAGGCCGAGGTGGCGCGTCAGGAGATGATCAAGTTCAGGGGGGCGCTGCAGACGGAGCAGGACTACCATGACGAGCTGGAGCAGCAAGCGGCGGAGGCGATCGCCGACACCGCGGCCTTGGAAACCGACATCGTCCCCACTCAGGAGCAACTGGACCTCGCTAACGCGCTCGTCGCCGAACAGACCCAGATCGCCAAAGAGGCCACCGCCGATTCCACCTACTATGCGCGCCGCGCCGCGAAGCTCAAGACGCCGGAGGCGGCAGCCGAGGCCGCCGACGCGCAGGCGGTCCGCGCGCAGGCGAATCGCATCCTGGGCGCGCTTAAGAAGCAGGCGGCGCTCGCTCTGGACGCCCTGGAGGCGATGCAGTACGATCTGACGACCGCGAGGAAGGACAAGATCGACACGCGGAAGGCCGCGGACGAGCATCTGGTTGACCTGAACAAGGCCAAGAAGGACGCGAAGGATGCGGAGGGCGTGTACTACAAATACGTGGGCGACACGAAGACGCTGCCGAATGTGATCAAGACGATCATGGCCGACGTTCAGGTGAAGACGACAGCTGCGGCTAAGGTCACCAAAGACAACAAGGTTGCACTCGGGCAGGCGGCCTCGATTCGCGCTCAGACGGAGGCTAAGTACACGCAGGCGAAGGCGCGTTCTGACTCGCTTAAGGCGGCTGCGGACCAGGCGGAAGCGGATTCCGCCGCTTACGACAAGGCTCACTCCGTCAACTGGAATACGGGCAACGGCAACGGGAACAGCAACGGCAATGGTAAGTGAAGGATCAGTCGTTCTTGCGACGGAGGCTAAGGGACTTCACGCATGCACCCGATTTCCCCCTCTGCGTATCCCCATCGTGCTTTGTTTGCAATTTGTTGTGGACCTGGAGAATGCCTTCTGGAGCTCTCAAGGCTCCCCATCTTGGGAATACGCCGTGGTCGCTAGGCCTGTGCGCTTTCTGAGGAATAAAGGCATCGTGTAAGACGAATTCATAAATTGAGCTTCTGGTTCTACTCAACTCCATAAATCTTCAACACGAGGCATAGATGATGAATTGGGATGCCTAGTTGCAGATAACGCAGCAGACAATGCCTCAGTAAGGGGATTAGGAGATGAGGTGATGGTGCGTAGCTGGCGTTCCCGGGTCGCGTGGATGTTTGCCATGCAAATGTTCGTGTTGCACGAGAAACATTTCCAGCGCAGGCGATTCCGAGGTGGTGGGCTTGCTGTGAAAATGGAATCGCGCTTTCATTCCCGTTGGGGAAAATCACGGGGAAAGTTAGCTGCTACATGTAAAAAAACGTAATCTCTTGAAGGAATATCATTAGCATTGCTGTTAGTTGTTTTGAGATGCCATTGTGATGCCAAAGCGTTCATATTGCCCCATGATTCCAGAGATTTTTCAGTTTTTCTTATATAAAAATGCCGTCATGAAGGAAAGCAATATGGAAAGTATGCATGCTTTCAGTAGTTATTTGAATTTGTATATGTTTGAAATCCTTTGCAGCAAAATCATGTTGACAGTTATAACAGAATGGCAATAACGAGCTCGTTAGCAACCAGCGAATGCCCAACAAAAGTCACGTCTGCCAAATGTCAACAAGCTGGCCCAACATTCAGGCTCAAGCGCCCGAGAGCTGAACAGCCTCTTTTGAGAATGGGGTCGTGTTCTAACAATATTGCAGCTTCCTTTCGCATCCTTCGTCAAAAGCAAACTTCCCAATGGATTGGAGTGCTGCTGTTGGAGGAAAGGTGGCACTGTTGGAGTTCTGAGGTTATTTAGTGCCACTAGCTGTTAAAAGTGCAAGGATGGTCCATGCAGAACGAGGTTTACTAATCGATATTGAATACGCCCCGTTTGTGGAAGCATGACCCCGTTGCGCTAACAGCACGCCCCACAAGTGAGCAACTCTCGTTGGTTTTCAACACACTGGGCTGGGCCACAGCGCGACACTGCGAGCCGCGTGAAATGTCAAATTCCAACAAGCATGGTGCACTGTAGAATGATCCGACCTGGTTAGGACGCGGTACATTGCGTCCGGTTCGACGTTCGTTTCACGATCTTCGCACTGAACAAAGCGGGTTACTACAGTGCCCTCGAACTTAGTACTTACCAGATTGTAAAGCACGATCACTTCCAAAACAATCGGGTGAAATTTATTTCACGTTGGACACACAACCAATTCAGCGTGACCAGGTACCAAGTCGCCCCCTCACAGAAATCACGAAACCTACATTGCCTCGCAATTTCGCCAAGCGAAAACCAAAGTCCGTGCCAACACAATAACCCGTGCCGCACGTGGCGCCGAATATGCGAAGGCATCTGTTGGTTGCCCTGTTTTGACGACAAAACTCGGCAAGGCTGCAGTTGGCAAAGCTGCAAATCAATCTTGAAGATCGGAGGCAGCAAATCTGTCACATGCCCCTATCGCGTACAAGATCGATTGTGTGAAATTGTTTTCGAGTGAATAGATTTGGCCAAAATTTGCAAAATCGGGAAAAAGTCTGCGATCCTCCCGAACGGAAGCAATGTACCACGTCCTTAGAGCTACTGGTGGTGGTGGAGAGAAATGTGGTTATATCCAGCCTCTTCCCCTTCTCCCCCCACATACCACCTGATTCCTGAATCCTCCTCCCGCTGCGACCAGTGGAGCTTTTGTGTTCCCCCCTCAAGACGTAACTCGCCCTCATTTGTTTCGTCGAGACAACAATGCACAAGCAATTACTCGCCACTGTTTCATCCATATACCGCCTTCCCAGTCCCCATTTGTCAGATAGAATCGTTCCGATACATATCCCGATCAGTAGCGGCGACAACCATGACTCAGTTGAGGGATTCATTCATAGCGCTGATTCTCGTTACTGGTCTGGTTTTCTCAACCTTATCCGCAGGAGCAAACGCCCAATCTTACCTTGCCATCAAAGCAAAAGCAGCCAGACAAGCCGCTAACGACGCGGACGCGCTAGCGAGTGCTGCGATAGCGGACTACAACGACAAGTTCAAGGCGGAAGCCGCGTTACAAAAAATACTCGACGATGCGAACGCGGATTTGGCCGCCGCGCAAACGGACCTCGCGAATAAAAAAAAGCAGCTCGACGACGCGAGGGCGAACGCGGAGCCAGCGCGCCAAGACATGATAAAGTCACGAAAGACGTTGCAAGAGGTGCAGCTATTCTCCGACGATCTCGAGATGGAGGCGGAAGAGGCGGCGAGCGACGAGAAGGAGGCGGCGAAAGACATCGCGGACGCGCAGGCGCGCTCCGCGCTGTCCGCGCAGCTTCTCGCGGAGCAGAACACGATAGTTAAGGAAGCCACCGCCGATTCCACGTTCTACGCGCGGCAGGCGGCGAAGCTCAAGACGCCCGAGGCGCGGACGCGGGCGGTAGACGCGCAGACGATCCGCGCGCAGGCCGTGCGAATCCAGGCGGATGTCGTGAAGCAGGCGCAGCGCGCAATGGAGCGCGTGGCGAATCGGCAATCCGATTGGACGGCGTCGAAACGGGACAAAGCGGACATGAGAGCAATGGCTGACGAGCAGAAGCTCGTGCTGAGTAAGGCGAAAAAGGACGCGGACGACGCGACTGGACTCTACTTCAAGTACGTTAACGACGCGAAGACGTTACCGTCAGCTGTCAAACAGCTGACGGTGAAAGCGACGGAGGCGGCTAAGGCCGTGAGAGATAACAAGGCCCCGCTTGCTCAAGCCGCGGCGTTCCGCGCTCAGGCGGAAGCGAAGTCTAAGGTGCTCAAGGCGCGCGCGGAGACGTTCAGGGCGGCTGCGCAGCAGGCGGAAGCGGACTCCGCCGCTTACGACAAGGCGCACTCCCCCGACTGGAATACGGGCAAGGGAAGCGGCAACGGTAACAGCAACAGCAACGGCAACAGCGACAACAATGGCAACAACAACGGCAACGGCAACACTGGCAGCAGCGGCAGCACTGGCACTAGCAGCAGCGGCAGCAGTGGCAGCAGCAGCAGCAATGGCAGCACTAGTAGCAGCGGCAGCACCGGCAGCAGCAGCAGCAGCAATGACAGCACTAGTAGCAGCGGCAACACTGGTAGCAGCAACAGCAATGGCAGTACACGTAGCAGCAGCAGCAGCGGCCACGGCAACAACAAGTAATGGCCATAAGGCCAGAGAAGCATAAAGCAACATAATACAGGCATTGTGTGACATGAATGATGTAAATCGTTACATTGATGTTATCAAGCAATAAAGCTGTTGTGAACGGTTCATTGCTGGTAGATAGTGACGGATAGAACACTCTGAGTTAAGTTCGACTATTCTCACCAGTAAGTCGCGACTCGCGCTCGGAGCAGTTCTGTATGCGAGCGGCGGAGTAGCAGCGAGCCGCTGGAATCGGATTCCATATGGCTAGTAGCGCGTCCAGGGACCTGCATACATTCCAAAATGTGGGATCCGACCCAGCGGGCTGATGCCAGCGGTCGACGGGCGCGAAGGACGACCGACGCACGAACTGCCAGCAGAAATACCTCTGCAGAGGGTTTGAACGACGAGCCCCTCACTTGCCCGCGCGGAGTCATCAACCGTCTTGTTACAGCATTTCTTTCAGGCGTGGGTACGTTCCATCGGCAGCTTGCGAGATCTAGACGCGTGCAAGTATGGAACGACATCTTATCTGCCTTCGGAAGGAACTTGTTTGAAACGCAGCCTCAATCGGTGCTGTACAGCCCGTAACGACATCTTACTCGCCTGTGCTTCCATCCATCCACAAAAACGCGGGCGGTACGGCCTGAGCTCCTGAGTAATCGTCCTCTACAACTTATTCCTTCCATCCGAGGCTTACGATGCTCGTGTGTGCAGGAATCCACACGCGCTAGTACGAGGGGGACGGGATTGGGAGTCAGATCCGAATACTTCGGCTGAGAGTAAGCAGCAGGGCGAACTGCTATCAACAAAAAGAGCGGCTGGGAGTGGCGGCACCGTAAAGTTCGCCTGCTTGAACGAGTAGGAGATTCTCTGGGGGAATGTGCAACGAGGTGCTCGGGGTTTGGGATGAAATTGGCGAGTCGCGGGGTTCCCGCGGGTGAGGGAGCTCAAAAGACTCGTTTTGGCATGGCGGGATAGTCGTTTACACTCAACGAGCACATGCCGTCTCAACAAAGTCTTTGTGGTTATAAGCTAAGAGGTGAATTTCCCTTTACATTGTGTTTTGGGCAAAGGAAACTACACTAAAAAAAACCAACCTGTGTGGAAAGCTCTTATCCTAAATCATAGAGATCACTTGCGTAGGGGAATATAGCAGGATACATCGAGCAAGTGTAGAATTAATTCAAAACCCCTAGACACAAACCCCCCTAATAACCTATCAAGAGGAATAGTAGCCCTGAATGATTCCTACGTTCTGTATGAGATTTGAGAATTATTTGCGCTCTTGTATGTGTAATGACAGGGTGTCTTCTTGAGGGTTTGACCAAGAAAAGGTTATATTTGCTGTATGGATGTATTGCCCCAGGTAAAGTGCACTCATGGGCTATTCATTCTGTCTCCAACGCGTGTTATCGAGGACAATCAAGCCAAGCAGTTCCTCCAATTCCCCCCCTGCGACTGCTCCACTGCACCCCCATCAGATCCATGTGCTCCTTGTGGTAGTGAGTCACCCCTGTCTGGCACCTTTGGAGCCGAAGCGCGCCTACGCAAGCCGCATTGTTGGTGGAAATGAAATTTGGTTCGCACTTCCATCATCCACCTCATCCCTATCAGTGTGTGGCAGAACTAATTACACACTGCGACTGCTGAGCGCGTATCATGGAACTCTTGAAAGTTCACTCGAAAGTGTATAACTCCGCGTTCAGTCTCCGATTTTCGACGGTCAATTTCGTCCTAGAAAACCGTTGAAGTGCCTTTTCTTTTACCCCGTCTTGACATAGCAACCATGAATCAACTCTGCTATTCATTCGTGACACTTGCTCTAGTGTCGGCATTGGCCGCGGCTGCCTTCTCGTCCGGAGCGCACGCGCAATCGTACATGGCCACCCGCGCCAAAGCCGCCCGAAAGGCCACGGATGATGCGGACGCGCTGGCCCAGGCCGCGCAGGCGGATTACAACGACAAGCTCAAGGCGGAAAATGCGGCGAAAAAAGCCGTCGACGACGCGGACGCGGATTTGAGCGTCGCACTGACGGACCTCGCGAATAAGACGAATCAGCTGAGCGACGTGAAGGCGAAGGCAGAGCAAGCGCGGCAGGACACGGTCAAACTAAAAAAGACGCTTCGAAACGAGCAGGACTACGCCGACGAGCTTGAAATGGAATCCGACGAGGCGGTTTATGACGAGGCGGAAATGGCTAAGGACTTCCTCGACGCGCAAGACCGCATGAATTCCACGGAGTATATGCTCGCAGGGCAGAAGATACTCGCCCAGGACGCCAAGGCGGACTCGACGTTCTACGCTCGGCAGGCGGCGAGGCTTAAGACGCCCGAGGCGCAGGCTCTAGCCGCCGAAGCGCAGTCGATTCGCGCGCAGGCGAATCGAATTCAGGCGGAGCTCGCGAAGCAGGCGCAGGCTGCGCAGGAGCGCCTGTCGACAGCGCAATCCGACTGGTCGGCGCTGAAAAGGGACAAGTCTGACACGCGACGAGCAGTGGACGAGCAAAAGGCTGTGGTTGATAAGGCGAAGAAGGACGCGGCAGATGCGGAAGGGCTCTACTACAAATACGTGGGCGACGGCAAGACCATCGACGCGGCTATCAAGCAGCAAAGCGCAGTGGTGGCGGCGAGGATAAAGACCGCCAAAGACGCCCGGCTCTTGCTAAGCAAGGCCACTAATACCCGAGCTAACGCGGAGACGAAGTATAACTCGTTGAAGTCGCGATCTGAGGCGTTGGGGGTTGTTGCGGGCAAAGCAGAGAAGGATGCAGCGGCTTATGAAGCAACCCATGCCGGTGGGAATGGTGGGGGCAATTCGACTGGTGCGCCGGGCAATGGAGGTGCGAATGGTGCGACGGGCAACGGAAGTGCGAATGGTGCGACGGGCAATGGCAATTCGAGTGGTGCGACGAGCAGTGGCAATTCGACTGGTGGGCCGAGCAGCGGCAATTCGACTGGTTCGACGGGCAACAGCAATTCGACTGGTGCGACGAGCAACGGCGGTTCGACTGGTGTGATGGGCAACGGAACTGCGAATGGTACGATAGGCGATGAAAATGGGAATGGTGCGACGGGAAATGGAAATGCGAAGGGCAGCGACCATACGACTGGTACGACGGGCAGCGGAAATGCGAATGGTGTGACAGGCAATGGAAATGTGAATGTTGCGAGGGGCAGCGGAAATGGAACTGGTGCGACTGGCAGCCCAAATGCAACTAGTCCCGCAAGCAGCGGGAATGCGACAGGTGCGACGAGTGACAGTGGCGCAGGCGACGGAAACGCAAATGGTGGGGTTCATGTCGGCTCAGCTAGGAGCTAGTCGTCCCAGTCACGTTGAAACTGATCCTCCGAGGCAGTTCAAAAGGCCCAATTACCTCCCATGTGAACTCTGCTGGCGTGGACCCCCTCCGCGCCTGGGAAATGGCTGGTGGAGCATCAAAGCACCCTGCCTGAATAATCGCATTTCCGCCAGGAAATGCTCAGACATAATTCTCTGGGTAATTTGCTGCCAGATGGGAAAGGGAAAGTACATCGGCGCTCATTAGTAGGGGTCTAGATAACATGTACGATCAGTGACACAATATAAACAATCAGAATTAGCGATTTCGCAACATGTTTCATCAGTCGAATTCCATCGTTAGTTAGAAACTGCAGGAAAAAAGTTCCACGAATGGTCAGTAGAAGTAACCCCTGCCAGTCTCGAAACGTCTTCCCGCTTGCGCAAGCCCAATTTCGTCATCATTGCGGCTGTCGCGATAAGTTTCCAAAGCGCCAGGCGCAGTTCGATAGAACTACGTAAAGTATTCCCAAATTAAAAATCATTGGACGTTGCGCACACAAAAATCCAAAATTAAGACCTTGCGTATTTATGTCACATAAGCTAATTGGGCCACAGCGTGCCGCACATCGGGTGCGATATTTTTCAAACATTAACAAACCTACAAAAAACGAAAACATTCGACATGAAAGGGAAATCTATCCGGGATCGACGCTAAGCCACTGAGGCGTGAACATTTAGCTTACTGGGCGTGCGCTAATTTGTTTCGAGCATGACAAAACACGTAGAGTCGTAATTTGGCGGAAAACTTTTCGGGTAAATACATTTGTTGAAAATATCAAAAGACAACCGACAGACATCTAATAGATTTGTTGTATTGAAATAAATACAAAATTAAATGCGGTTCTGAGAGTACCTTGACGTGCTTTAAAACATATTCATTTCCAAAAAATAAACCCTTGTAGCTATCTATATATGTTATTGTTTTCGGGCAACTCGGGAATGACAACAAGTTTATGGCTTGACTTTTTTTTGGGACCGTAAATGCGGTAGAGACAAAGTCGTCACTTTTAGTCATCGCGAAACGCGCTGTCAACTTATACATATGTTCTATTTAGAAGTTATAGGCTAGACTAGGTGTGTGCTTCTAGTGAATACAACCCAACAGGTATATGTTCTAGGTTTCTCTTCCTAGTAATCATTATCTTATTCTAACATGGTATCCAGTAGGTTAGGTCCACCCGCCCGCTTCCGCCCGCGCCCTAGCCTCTCGCCCCTCCCCTACCTACCTAGCCCGTCCTGGCCCCGTCGCACCCTCCTGGCCCCGTAGCGCCCTCCTGGCCCCCGTCGCGCCCTCCAGGACCCGTAGCGCCCTCCTGGCCCCCGTCGCGCCCTCCCGGCCCTGTAGCGCCCTTCTGGCCCCTGTCGCGCCCCCCCAGGCCCCGTACGGCCCTCCTGGCCCCCGTCGCGCCCTCCAGACCCCGTAGCGCCCTCCTGGCCCCCGTCGCGCCCTCCAGGCCCCGTAGCGCCCTCCTGGCCCCCGTCGCGCCCTCCCGGCCCTGTAGCGCCCACCTGGCCCCCGTCGCGCCCCCCAGGCCCCGTACGGCCCTCCTGGCCCCCGTCGCGCCCTCCAAGCCCCGTAGCGCCCTCCTAGCCCCCGTCGCGCCCTCCAGGCCCCGTACGGCCCTTCTGGACCCCGTCGCGCCCTCCAGAACCCGTAGCGCCTTCCTGGCCCCCCGTCGCGCCCTCCAGGCCCCGTAGCGCCCTCTCGGCCC